TAGACATGAGGGCTAGGAGGACTGGTCCATGGTAGAAAACTTGCCACAAGTTGTAGGGGTGTGCAGAGAAGGGACCGTTATGACAATGGTAGTCTGAAATGACGACTCTTGACAAGAACTGAATGCTGAAAGGAGGTAAAGTGGTATGCATGATACCCTTTCAGTAACTGTGTTCCATAAATAAGGGGAGGAGGAGGAAGAGAAAGAAGGGGAAGGAGAGGAAGGAAAAAGAGGGAAGAGGGGGTGTAAGAAGAGGGAAGAGGGGGAGGAAGAAGACGGAAGGGGAGAAAAGGGGGAGGGTGGGAAAGGGAGGAGGAGGAAGAGGAGGAGGAAGAGAAGCAGGAGAGGACACAGCTGAGAATGCACGAAGACACCACAATGCCGGAGACCTCTCTGGGCCCTATACCGAGCCAGTTTCACAGGGGCACCCCAGATGGAGCAAGTGCAGCCTCCCCACCTATTCCAGATGGAATCCTAGAGACCAAGAGCTTCCACAAGCAAGGTATGCGGGTTCCAGGACTGATCTCCAGGCTGATCTCTGCAGAGCGGCAGAGGTGCCGAGCTGTCCCTCCCTGGGTCCCTGTCCACTCAGCATCTTGGCTGTCATGCCCACAATCTGCCTCCGGGCGCCACCTTAGTGCACCGAGAGCCCTTGTCCAGAGACTCCCAATTGAATTCCAAAATGGATTAGTGCCCTACAGAGAGATGTCTCTGGTCCCAACCATTTACAATCTAGAATTCCAGAAGCACATGGTTGCTTTCACAGCTGCACGAGTTCTCGCGATATTCAAAATGAGCAATGGAAAATTATCCAGCATCTGCCACTGGCAGGCAGGCTTGAATGGTGGTGGGAAAATTCGAGCAAAACATAATGCCCAAAAGTAGAAAGAGATTATTGGGGAAATTGTCTGCCATAGAGGCAGGGTGAGGGCTGGGAAGGACGGAAGGGGATACTGGGGACATTGGTGGTAGAAAATGTGCACTGGTGGAGGGATGGGTGTTCGATCGTTGTATGGCTGAATCTCAAACATGAAAGCTTTGTAACTGTATCTCACAGCAATTCAATAAAATTTTAAAAAAAAAAAAGAGAGAGAGAAGGAGAAAGAGGAGAAGAGGAGAAGGAGAAAGAAGAGAAGGAGGAGAAGGAAAAGCAAAATAATAATAATAATAATAAAGTATCTGTCATAGAGACATGCTGTGGATGGGGCAGAAGGGAAACTGGGGACACTGGTGGTGGGAAATGTAGACTGGCGGTTGGAACACTGTATGACTGAAACCCAGTCATCACAGTGATTCAACTTTTAAAAATTCATCCACTTAGCAGAAAACGTTTTGAAAGAATTTTTAAAAGAGGGCGACTGTAGGATAACACTGGTTTGTCCTTTCTGCCTTGCCTCAGGGAGCTTAAGTTTATTGCATTACTCCCATCACAGTGCTCCCATTCCTCTGGGTTTATTTGTAACTTCTTTCTTTGTGGTCTGTTAACTTGTAAATATTGTTTTTCTCTTCTCCTTAATTCCTTTGCATAGCTAATTCAGAGCAATATCCTTTTTGTATGGACACAGAAGACAGTTACTGCTATGCTTTTGTAACTTGGGAACTGACTCTGAACGATATTTACCTCCTGGGCATCTGTTCTCCCGACCTAAGCCTCAGTTGCCCTTACTTCCTAGCACCCCAAAAGCTGAGGAGGGACTGGATGGGCCCAGGGCAAGCTGTGAGCTATGTGCTACCCTGGCATCGAGATGGGCCTAACACTTAACTATAAATTAAGAGCAGGATCATGATCCAAATTCTGTCATGATCCAAAAAGTAATAACTAGATTCAAACCCTGCTAGGGTTAGGAATGATTAATCTGGCCTGAGTACTGTAGTCTGAGTCTGCAGCAAGATGTTCCCAGGAGAGCTGCCCTAGACATTTTGATGTATCTCTTACTGTGTCCTGGGCTGGAGTAATACCACAGTGGTAGGGTGTTTGCCTTGCACGCAGTCAACATAGCTGACTCGAGTTCGATTCATCTACCCCTCTCGGAGAGCCCAGCAAGCTACTGAGAGTATCTCGCCTGCACAGCAGAGCCTGGCAAGCTACCCGTGACGTACTCAATATGCCAAACACAGTAACAAGTCTCATGATGGAGACGTTACTGGGCCCGCTCGAGCAAATCGATGAACAACGGGAGGACTGTGACTGTGACTTACTGTGTCCATACAAAATAACTAATATTAAGAAGTAGAATTAAGATGTTAATTAAGTTATTGGACTGAGGAAAGGAGATAAACACCTTAAGTGATAATTTGCCCGTGAGTAAAGGAAGGGCTTTCTTATGTTGATTTTGCTACCTGGACTGGGTCCAGAGGGCAAGAGGTTAGGAAGGAAGAGCAGGTGAGATAGGAGAGGCAGAGATTGAATACACGAGAGATTGAATAAATGGCAACTAATCAGCAACCAGCTTGGTCCTCGTTCTTCCTTTGCCCACCCACCACCAACAGCCATCCCGATTCAGTCCATACACAGCGGCTCAAGAGCACCGGACACAGGCGGTGAGAGAGAGCTACCCGGGAGAGCCCGCGAACACACATCCTTCTGCATGTGTACTCTTTACAGGTAACATCTTGCTAGGTCAAGTTCACGGAAGGCAGACAGTCTAGCAGAAATTCCTGCCAAGAAAAGGGGGCACTCCCAAAACCCACAGCCTTCCGGCTAACATACATGCCCTCGTCACAGCTGCTGCTATCACTCAGCACACTGATATGCACTGAGTCGTGAAAAACCGTTTGTGATGGTGGCTGCACTGAATCAACGCTGCAGACAACCTCCATCAGCTGCCGTGTGGCTTCTACCGCCTCACCAGCCTCTCTGTGGGACACTCTCCGTGCTGAACAGCACGACGGAGCTGAAGGGCAGCCCGACTGGCACCTGGGGTGATTGCTGCAGCACAGAGCCCAGTGTGGCAGGAGGGAGGGTAGTGACTGGGATGAGAAAGTGGAGACTGGCGGTTGATTTGTGAGGTCTGTCATCTCACTCACTCCCAAGAACTGCAGGGAACACCAGGGCTCTATTTATGGAACCACATTAAGGCTCAGAAACTGATCTAGGGCAGGCGTCCGTAAGCCTCTGCCAAGCCAACAGTGGTTGAAATCAACAGAAGAACATCGCTTCACAACACAGGACAGTCGCATGAAATCCAAATGTGTTCATAAATAAAGCTCTAATTGAAATTCTATCAATACCACAAAGGCAAGTGATGGGAATAGCAACTTTTGGTGAGAATGTCGAAAAACGTGCATGATAAAACGCTAAATTCTATGGCAAGCAGTTTGGCAGCTACTCAAAATAATGACGATGGAGTTACTGTATAATCTAGCAATTGTACTTCTAGATATTCAAAACAAATGAAGGCAGCACACTGAGCAGATAGGCTACACCACAGCTAATGGCAGCAGTGACATTAATAACGGCTGCATTGTTCACGGTGGCTAAAGGTGGGGGGGAAACAAAAGTCCCTTCCAACATATGAATGCGTAAACAATGTGGGGGCACATGTTCAACAGAATCAGGAAGGAGATTCTGGTAAACACTACAACACAGATGACACTTAAAATAAGAAAGATATAAAAAGAACAATTGCTGCCTGAGGTCACTTATATAAAGAACAAACAGGCAAACAGGCGAAACAGAAGCATGGTCTCCTATGTTTGGATAAAGAGTAAAGAGCTGTCACTGAAGAGATGAATAGTCACGGAAGCCAAACAACTCTGGGTGTACTTAGCACTGTAGCACTGCACTGTCCTCTCGTTGTTCATCAATTTGCTCAAGTAGGTACCAGTAACATCTCCGTTGTGAGACTTGTTACTGTTTTTGGCATATCGAACATACCACAGGGAGCTTGCTAGGCTCTGCCACGCGGGCAGGATACTCTCAATAGATAGCCAGGCTCTCCGAGAGGGATGGAGGAATCAAACCTGGGTCAGCCGCGTTCAAGGCAAATGCCCTACCCGCTGTGCTATTGCTCCAGCCCTGAGTGTACTTAGTACCATTAAACCATATACTGAGAAATGGTAGAAATTAGGTAGATATCACACACACGTGCACGCACAACAGTTCTACAACTAAAACTTATTTGGCAGAGGGGCTCCCCACCATGTCCAGGCAGCCTGGAGGCCACTTCCAGCAGTATTCGGGCTGCTGACCCAGACAGTGCAAATACTCCAGGGTGATGGGAAACTGCACAGGCCCAAAGGTGGGTAAAAAGGGCCACACCCAGGTTGCCTATGGACCACCCATGTGCTCCAGCCCGCTGAGTTATCATCCCAGCCACTCAAAATACTCTTTAAAAACAAGCATTTCAGGCTGGGACCAAAACTCCGTGGCAGAGCACTTGCCGTACAGGTGGCAGGTCCTGGGAGCAGTCCCCGGCCACACACGTACACACCCTCACACCCTCCAAGGGGTACGAGTTAAATATTATACCAGTATTTGATACTAAAGTAATATTTCAGTGACAGCTCGTGCCTTCCCAATAAAAATACTGAACACCCTGAACAAATATGATGACCTCTTGGTACCTGTACTGCAAACCATAACGCACAGAAAGGAGAAAGGAAAGGAGAAAGAAGAGACCTGTCTGCCATAGAAGCAGCAGGGATGGGGATAAAGGGAGAGAAACTGGGGGCACTGGTGGTGGGAAATGTGACTGAAATCTCCAGCTTTCATTCACTCAAACACCCCCCATTCAGTGTACACTTCCCATACATGGTGAGAAATGTACACTGGTGGAGGGATGGTTATTGGAACACCATATGACTGAAACCCAATCTGAATAGCTTTTCTGACTTAGATGAAATCCCAGAGAGTCAGCTACCTCAAAGACAAAGTACAAGAGGGTCTGTGTTTATTTCTGTAACAGCTGAGCTTGCCAGGAGGCTGCAAACCTGCTCTGACAGAGAGTGCAAACACGCCAGCACCCACCTCCCTTCCCAGGAAGCCAGTGGCCACTCACCAGGTACACTGCCCTCTGGAAGAAGGCGGTCGTCTCCAGGATCTTGTGCATGGTCACAGTCTCCAGCTCATCGGGGTCCAGCTGCTCCTTTTCAAGGGGCATCCCGTTAAACAGAATGACGGGCAGGGGGCCAACCCCTGTCTGCTCCGAGTAGCCTCTTCCCTCCTGCAACACGAGGGAACACATGCCCCATGAGACAAATAAAACACAGAACACCTTTCTTGCACATCTGCTGCACAAATGGGAAAAGCGAAACAAAATTTAACAGGAAGGAAAAAAATAAAGCAAACCAGAAACAGGACCACCAAGAAATGCCTAGGGAGATATCTATTTTAAAATAAGGTCAAGTTCTTATCTTACCAGGTGAATATGACATTGAGTTACCAAGTTTTACAGAGTCACAACCTTACAAATTGGGAAACGGTCTGAGGGTGGAAGCGGGACTACTTATAAGCAGATGATGTCACCAAACCAAAATGCAAGATCCTGCAATAATGGAAATATTCTCTTTCGGCCATCCACTGCGGCCACTGAGTAACCACAGGAGGCTATAAAGGAACTGCTATTAATTAATTTCTATTTAAAACCCACATATGGCTAGCAGCCACATTATGGCACAGCTATAGACTAACACGAACAATGAGTGCTCCTGGGTGAATAGCCTGAGATAAAATAGTTACCTTCATTCTCAGTCAGGATGGACCCAAACCACTAGCAAAGAAATTCCACCTACAGGGGAAAAAATGAGGTTGGTGGGAAAGCAGGGCTCATTTTCTTTGGAAAATGAGTTCAACTGATCTGCTTCTCCAGAACAAGTGAGGTCACTGGGGGGTAATGGCAAAGTACCGAACTCCAGACTGATCTGTGATGGACCTTTATACCCTAAACTGTAACACAGGGGTTATTCCTCTACATCACAATCCAACATATCAAAGTGGTACTTAGAACTTTCTTTCTAAGAGCCTGAGACTCATGGACTGAGCATCGCTTAACTCCAAAGCACAGACAGGAGCAACAACCCCCTAATTAAAAAACATGAAGGGTAACTCCTGAGACAGCCAGGTGAGGCCCCAAAATAAGAACAGAACCAAAAAACGAAACAAAACAAAACCTTGAGTACAAATTAATGGTTTACAACTTCCCACATTTCAAAAGAGGTTTGAATACTAAGATCAGAAAGTTTTTAGATCACCAAATAAAATCAACTTAATTTTTTTAATTGATTTAATCTTTCTTCTTTCATCTTTTTTTAATCAACTTAATCTTTCTAACAGACTTAAGTGCAATAAAATTGTCAAAAATCACAAAGAGAATCTTGAAAATCCTGAGAGCAGGGCCTATAAACTGGAAGGCTATGAGTGGACTTTTCAGCAGAAACCTTACGGTCCAGGAGAGAATGGGATGAGAAGCACAAATTATTGAAAGAAAAGTCTACCCAAAGGGCAGGCATGGCCTATGCTTCTACTTTTCAGTAACAGGGCTTGGGCTCAGCCAGGAACAATCCAAAGACTGAACCAGGAGTAGCCACCAACTACCACCTCAATGGATGCAACCCAGAAAAAAACAAGAAATGACGGATCAAAACTTGAAACAAAAATAAAGCTTTCATTGTTCATTTTAAAAAGTTGAAAAGCATACTTTTAGCATTTTAAATTAAAATGTTTCATAAATGCATTTTGAGTTCTTGCCTTAGCATTTATTATTAGCAAGCTACTTCACTTCTATTTGCAGCAAAGGGTCTTGATAGTATTCAATATCTCACAATAAAAACTATCTTAAAAAATGTAGGTGTTCCTTCAAAACCATATTTTGTCACTGTTATGACATTTCTTAACATATGTCCATCTTCAGTCAAAAGAACTAAATAGATGACACATATCAAACTACACAACATTCCCAAGGAAGAATACATCATTATACCTCTGACACTTTTTCAGAACATGTACCACAGAAAGTACCACCACTAAATCATAAAAGTATTATTTTTCAATATAACAGCTAATATACCAGCTTAAAGACCAATGATTTCTTTAAAAAATCTAAATGTAATCAATTTTTGCACCCACACACGTGACCCGATTACATCTTTTCAAATGCTCGGTACTTGCAAGTTTTAACCGCCCCACCTTTCAACACAACCACCCCCAAACTGAGAGAGTCACAGTACCACAGTCAAATAAGAAACGCCGAGAAATTATTTAGGCCCTGCTTTGGGGTCAGGGTTTAGAGGTCAGGGTGGAAACATTCGAAATACGGTGGTGGGTAGGTGTAATGGTGGTGGGATTGGAGTTGGAATATTAAATGTACATAATAAATTATTGTGAACAACTTTATAAAGATAAAATAAAAATTTAAAAATAATAATTTTTTTTTTTAAAGAAACACTGAGGAAATGCTTACCTTCCGGTTCTGGTCATAGGCAGAGTCAATGCCCAGAATGCTGCCCACTTCCACATACGGGTATTTACTCTGCAGGACGCTGACCACGTGCTCCACCTTCACCTTCTCCCCAGTTCTCACTTTGTTATAGATCTGCAGGAAGAAAAGGAAGAAAAGCCAAGTGTGCTTCACATCCAGATTCCAGGATGCTTACGGCCACAGACGTCTGAATGCAAAGAAAACAGCGTTCGTCTTCAATATTCTAAAGGGACTTGTTAGGGGCTTTCTTCTTCCCCTTTAAAAAAGAGAATCTTGAAAATCATGAGAGCAGGGCCTATAAACTGGAAGGCTATGAGTGGACTTTTCAGCAGAAACCTTACGGTCCAGGAGAGAATGGGATGAGAATCTTGGAATTCTCATGTTCTGTTCTGTGGGGAAGGCTCCCAAGAGGTGCTCAAGAGGCCCAGGGGACTTCCTGGTCCACAGGTCAGGAGCTTAATGCAAGGCGTGATGCTTCAATGCTATTCAGGAGATGAACCAGGACTGTCTTGTTTAAAAGGTCTGTGCTTAGCCCTACCCTCTGCCAATCCTTCTCTCTACCTTCTAACATTAAATATGATAGACTTTTAAAACGACTGAGTAAATTTAGTCGCTTGAAGTTCCAAATGCAAAAACAAACTGTGCTTTCAAAATATGAGTACTTTCAATAAGTTCTCTTTCTTGGGGACAGGGGCCAGGTTTCGACCACACCTGGAGGTGTTTGGGGATCACTCCTGGCAGTGCTTGGAGGACCTCACAATGCCAGGTAACCTCTACAGTCCCTTGATACTTCTAAATAACTCTTGAAGTAGTAACTTATGTCTATGACGCCTACTGGGAACAAAGTTATAAAATATGTATGACAAGAGGAGATACAGAAGCAGGGTTGGAGGCTGGGGTACAGCACTTGCATCACAAAAAGGGCACTTGCACGCAGCCGACCTGGGTTTGATTCCCAGTATCCCATATGATCCCCTGAGCACCGCCAGGAGTAATTCCTGAGTGCAGAGCCAGGAGTAACCCCTGTGCATCGCCAGGTATGACCCAAAAAGGGGGAAAAAAAAAAGATGAGCCCCCGGGCCCTATACACAGCACCAAAATAAATGCACAGTAGACATAAACAACAAAAATGTCTCCTGACAGGCACTTGGACAACTACAAGCTACAAGGCGCGTTCAACAGTAGGGACTCCAAGAAGCAGGATTGGGTGAGGGAGATGGAGATTCTAAGCTGACATTTTACTGTCATTTGAAAAACACTTTTGCTTTTACAATGAAAAGTAACAAAACAAATTCATGCCACCCGCATCCTTCATACACATAGCTATCCATGGGGAGAAGAATAAGGTCTTTTTTTTTTCTTTCTGGGTCACACCCGGTGATGCTCAGGGGTTACTCCTGGCTTTGCACTCAGGAATTACTCCTGGGAGTGCTCAGGGGACCCTATGGGATGCTGGGAATCGAACCCGAGTCAGCGGCATGCAAAGCAAACACCCTACCCGCTGTGCTATCACTCCAGCTCCCAGAATAAGGTCTTAAGAAGTGGAGTGCAGTTTTTCTGCCTTGGAGAAGCCCATTTTCTCTTCTGGATATGTATTCCCTTTCTTCACCTCACACTTCTCTGAATTTCTTTCAATAAAAACTATTTTGTTAGCATGGGGGGAAAAAAAAAAGAGTTCTAAACACTAGTTATCCTGTCCAGAAATACGGTTCAGTGGTCAAGCTCTTGTTTGACAGCAAGTACCACTAAAATACTAGGACATTTATTATCCTCAGCAGCTCTGAACTTATCCTCCACAGAGGAGCCCAGGACTGTGCCACCCGTCACCTTCCCCTCCTCACTCAGAGATCTCAGCACAGCTGAGGGCATCTGCCTTATATACAGCTGGCCTGGCTGCAATCCCTGGCACCCCACGTACTGCCAAGAGTGATCTCTGAGCGACAGCCAGGAGTGACCGCTTAGTGTTGCAAAGTGTGGCTTAAAAAAAATAATAATAATAATAAACCCAAATTAAATAAATGAACGTTCCAACAAACTGATGATGCCTCTCACACTGCTGGCATGTCCCAGGGGTCCCGGTGCCACAGGTCGAAGCAGTTTTGTACAGAACTGTCCGATCTAGCTGAGTATCACTAGGGGTGGCCTTGGGTCCCTGAGTGCTGCTCGGAAGATCGGTCTCCTCTGAGTAATGTCAAACAGTCATAAATAACAGTCAACAGGTCAACATCACGCTTAGAGTGATAAAGCCCACTGCTTTAATAGGATTTTCCCCAAAAGGCTCTACATGAGGAAGGCCCGGGTTCCCTCCACGGGACACTTATCGAAAGGTGCTAACTAGTGATTTTATGTTATCAGGAGTCAGCAGAAGAGGTGTGATGCTCAGTCTGCCAGGGACGTCAGCAGAAACCTCAGCAATCCATGATTCCACAGCAGTGCATGAGGAATGGCCATTCCTGAGCTAAGTGACAGAATTACTTACAAAACCTTTATACTCTTCCTCGCTTTACAGCAATACAGACCCCTCTTACCTACCACCTGGGATTTCTTCAAGTGGGACAGATTTCCACAACGCATTCACTGTATAGATGAGCACACACCTGCGTGAGAGTCTGGAAGGCGTGGTACTCGTCCACCTCCTGGGCGACATAGTTATAGGCTCGCAGGACGGCCACTCCAGCATCCTGAGACCCATCGACATCTTCAGAGTCGTTGACCACGAAGATGAAGCCAAGTCTGTGAGGGGGCAGGAGGCAAAGCGGAGAAAATGAGGCTTGTCTCCAGAGGAATGATACCCCTGCACCTGCTCAGAACCTGCAGCTCGTGAGAGAGAGCTCCTGAGAAGCACAGCTCACACCCGGCTGGAGTTCACGACTCACCCAACAGAAAAAAGCTCCCCACAGAGGCTTGGGCTGCTTGACTAAAAAATCCATCTGTTTCTGGGTTATAAAACGAAGTTAGATAAGAAGGGGGCTATTGGAGATTTTAAAAATAGTAACGTGCATAAGGGAAATGGAAAATTCACAGTATGAAAATTATAGAAAGAGAAGGATCTTGAGATATAATAAATATGAGAATCTTGAGTACAAAGACTCTTGTCCAGTCTGAAGAGAGAACTCAATGGGCTGAGTTCGCTCTATGCATGCAGGAGGCCTGGGTTTGAGACCTGGTACCACATGGCTCCCTGAGCACTGCTGGGCAGAGCCAGGAGTAGCCTCGTGCACTGCCCCAAAACAAAAACAAACAAGCTAGTACCCTTCAGCAGAAAGTTACAACTAAGGTAAAGATTTTCAGTGCTTAGAGGCTGGAGCGATAGCACAGCGAGTAGGGTATTTGCCTTGCACACAGCCAACCCAGGTTCAAATCCCAGCATCCCATATGGTCCCCTGAGCACCGCCAGAAGTGACCCCTGTGCATCACCAGGTATCACTCAAAAAGCAAAAAAAAAAAAAAAATTTTAAGGGGCCAGAGTGACAGTACAGCAGACAGGTTCTTGCCTTGCATGCAGCAGACCCAGGTTCAAACGCTGGCACCACATATGGTCCCCAACCTCCACCAAGGGTGATTCCTGAGTAGAGAGCCAGGCATAAGCCCTAATAACCACCAGGTATGGCCCCCAAAATAAGTCTTTTAACAAAAAAAGAAAAAGAAAAAGAAAAAAGAAACCACATACCTTTATACATCTACAGACTAGCAAATGAAAAAGAAAAACCCTGGCCAAGACAGAAGCCAAGAGTTTCCATATTAGACCAAAAACAAGCCCATGTACTAACTGACCATGGACCATTTTTAACAAACGGTGCTAGATATTCACATAAAGAGTAATGAATCTGGAAATTAAAGCCTTCCAAAAAGTCAATCATAATGGACCATAAATACAAAACACAGAACTATCAAATTTCTAGAAAATAAAACAGGAGTGAATTTATGTTATCTTGGATTTGATAAAGACTCAGTAAATCTAACACCAAAAGCAAAATATGGGTAAGGAGAAAAAAAGTTGGTTAGCAGGTCTGGGCACCTACTTCAAGAACACGGAAACATTCACCTGCAAGGACATGTGTATACCTACACTCATCACAGCATTCTCCACAATAATCAAGACCGAGAAACATCCCGGGTGCCCAACAACAAATGAGTGGGTAAATAAATCATGATATCATATACAATAGAAGGTGACGCAGCAGTGAAAAAATGTGAAATTCTACAGTTTGCTAAATTTGGATGGAACTGTAGGAAATCATGCTAAGTGAAGTGAGTCAGGAGAAGAAAAAAAAAGAAAGAACACAGCACATGATTGATCTCATGTCACTCTTGTCAAGAATGACATCTGAGGTCCCAGGCAAAGGAGCCCTGAGACCAGGTCGTAGAACCAAGAGTGTGGAGACCCTGGGCAGCCTGTGGAAGATGACTGCAGGCCAGCACAGACCCTGGACAGCAGCACGGCGAGCACCAAATTCTAAGGCCAGTGATGCTGTTCCTTTAATCCCCCAACTACCGTCAGAGTAGTCAACTACTCAAGCCAGAGTGCAAAGGAGCAGATAGCCAGCGTCTGTGCACAGGCCCAGGAGCCAGCCCCTGCTCAGGTCGCTTCCCCAACCGCCAGCACCACCAGGGAGGCTCAAAAAAACAGAAAGAACTTCCCTGGAGTGATAGCACTGCGGGGAGGGCGTTTGCCTTGCATATGGCCCACCCGGGTTTGATTCTTAGCATCCCATATGGTCCCCTGAGCACCGCCAGGGGTACTTCCTGAGTACATGAGCCAGGAGTAACCCCTGAGCATCACCAGGGAGGTGTGACACAAAACGGGGGGGGGGGGGGGGACGACTGAAAGAACTTCTCATGAAGAGAACTGGAGACAAATGATCGGAGGGAGAGAGCATCAGGGAGGGCTCCTGCCTTACATGGAGCTAAACTGGGTTCAATCCTCAGCCCCCAGGGGGTCGCCAGAAACCTGGCAGGAGTGAGCCATGAACAACGTCGGGTGTGCCCCACCACCCCAAAAAAAGAGGGGAAATGAAGCTAAGTAACAGAATGAATGGAGACGTATATAAAACACATATCTGATCAAGGACTGCTGTCCCCAATCATGACAACTCTCGAAGACTTGGCGACAGAAACAAAATAGCGTTGAAAAAGGACAAAACATCTGAAGAGACACTCCATCAGGCCAGACGTAGAGTTGGCAAACACATTTAAAAAAAAACTGTGCGGTGACATCTGTCATTTTACTGTGGAAATTCCATGGGAATTTGCAACGGAAATAATGATGAGGCGGCTCAGCACACTCTCAGCGGGGCTGGGCACGAGCTCAGAGCACGGCATCCGCAAGCCGGGGGGGAGGGCCACACTCCCCTGACTGCAGGCGCACTGGGAAACAGCAGCCCACACAGCCGAGCAGGTCACAGAGGCGAGAGGACAGCTCAGGAGGCAGGGCGAGGGCCTGCATACAGCAGAGCCAAGGCTGAATGTCCCTGAGCACTGCAAGGAGTGATTCCCGAGCACAGCCAAGAGGCCAACACTGCCTCCCTCCCCCCCCCAAAAAAAAGAGTTCAGTATAATTTATTACCATAAAATCATCACACTCCCTGGTACTAAAATAAACAGAAAACTCACATCCACACAAAATCCTGCCTATGGATATTTATAACAGCTTTTTTATAACTACCAAAACTTGGAAGGAAGCAAGATGTCCATTAAAAGGGAATGGGGGCTAGGAATTTAGTCCAGTGGCAGGGCGCTTGTCCTAGATGTGGGAGGCCCTGGGTTTGAGCCCCATCATCAAAAAAGGGGGAGGGGGGGCCGGGCTGGGTATGAGGCCAGAAATGTGGGTCAGCAGGAAAAAGCAAACCTCAGTTATATGAGGCCATAGGACAGATACTGATACACGCACACACATACACACACACACACACAAACAAGCACGCACGCACACACACACACACAACTACAGTATGACCATAAAATGGAGTTTTATTCAGTGAAAAACATAAATAACAAAGATAAACCTTACTATTTAAAAAGAATGAAAAACAGTGAAAGATTAACTGTGAATTCACAGAGTAAGTAAAGGTGCTGCGATGCGTGCATTCGGGACCAAGAGCTGCCTCCCGTCCTCCACAGGCCTCCCCAGCAGAGAGAGAGAGACAGAGAGACAGACAGGGGACCACAGCCTCCCGGAGAAAATGGCCCATTCAATGCAGAGCTGCTAGCAAACGTATAGGACATCTGAGGGGGGCTGAGGTATGAAACCTAGGTGTGACTGATCATTTACATCTGGAAATTTACATAGATCCTTTACATGAGAAGTTATTTGCACAGAAAATTCTCTTGGCGGAGATTAACATGTAAGGAGATACTCTGTCCCTGGGGACATCCACATTGCTTTTATCTTTCCCTCTAGTTATATACGTTATCAATACTTTCAGTTGTTTGAATAAACACTGTAAGAGACAAAGATCCCAACATCTCTGGGCTCTGTGAGTAAGCAAGGCTTTTACCGTAAATCCCAGACTGAGTCCTCAGGTCAGTTCAGCTTGTCCTTCCCCATGGGGGTGCTGTCTCTTACGTACTAACAGCTTGTGTTGAGACCATGCATTTATGCTTCCCAGACTGTACCATTTCGATGCTGGAGTAGCTTGGCCACTCACCCTGGGTCCATCCTAGTGTCACGGAAGGACCTCCCTTTTGGGGTGTTAGGAATTACAGCAACTGAAGCCTGAGTCAAGTAATTATGACCAACGCACAGTAGTAGATATATTTCAGAGTCAATCAACTCCCAAATATTAGGAGCATGACATTAATGGTCTTTCTATGTTTAACCACGCAAAGAACATTGCTCTATAGTAAACTATAAAAGGGCGATAGGTGAAATAGAAAAGCAGGTACAAATATAAGTATTCGAGACTGGGGAACTATGATAAAGAGAGGCAAAATGCAAAGGAAAGATCAGAGATAAACTAACTAAATTAGGGATGCTAGCGAGGGCATGATACGTTTCTCTGGGAGGAGGATAAGGGGCAATTCACTGTTGAAGCCTAAAACACTTGGAGTTGATATCCAACAATAAACCTTACTAAATTTTTTTAAGTGATATGGATTAACCTTATCAAACAGTAAGGTATTTACCAGAATATTTTACTAAATCAAAGAATCAATGTGGAAAAGTTTGTTTTCTATGAGTCCAGACAGGGAGAAACTATAAAGACAATAAAAGAGCATTTGGCAGGAGCTGGGAGAGAGAAACAGAGAGGAGGGGCAGCAGGACAGGGCAGGCCCTCTGGACACATCTGCCGGACTCAAACTGCACCACTAATGATGATGCATTAATACCAAAAAAAAGATATGATTAATGTTGCAGATATAATTTTCATAAATTTTCTTTACTGAAGAATGTTTTGTAACTCCATTAGCCATTTAGTGGTGATAAGCAATATAAAACTATAAAAGACTATAAAACTATAAAGGACTATAAAACCCTGCTCCCGGAAGAGAACAGAGCAGTCTCCTGCCCCCGCGCCTGGCTGTCCTCGCCGGGGCCCCTTGGAGGGGAGCAGGTTGAGCTTTCCTCCCCACCCTGACCAGGGCTCCGGCAGCCAAAGACCTCCAGAACCAGCCACCACCATGCTGAGACCACTCCACACACATGAAGGTACCGGCAGAGGAACGAGGGCACGTGGATCCTGGGGCTGAGATTTCCAAGCCTAGTCGGATCAGGGCTGAGCATCCTCCACCCAGATCCTCCAAATTCCAGTAGGCGGGGGTCACACCCACCAACTGGACCCCTGGCGCCATGTAATCCCATCAACGGTCAAGACTCAGAGACTATAAAACCCAGCGGCGCGCAACATCTTATCATCTCATTCCTACTTTGGACAAACTGGCAGGCTACCGAATGTAACCTGCCCACATGGCAGAGTCTGGCAAACTCCCCGTGGCGTACCCAATATGCCAAATACCAGTAACAAGGAAGGGTCTCGTTCTCCTAACTCTGAAAGAGCCTTGAATATGGCCCTTTTTAAAAAAATCTCAGGAGACGTTACTGGGGCCTGCTTGAGGCAATCAACGAATAACAGGATGGTTGTGATTGTGATTGATTGAAAGCAATATAAAATAAACTACTGCAGACCCGCCACGGAGGCAGGCTGAAGAAGTGCATCGGTGCTAGAATACTGAACGCCTGTAGTAAGCGTCAGGAACAGTTTTGTAAACCAAGGTGTTGAAATGAAGTGAAAAAACAAATACATCAGCTCAATTAGATATATCATCAAATCGATGCCAGTTGTTACCTGAGTGGTATGTGGTTACTGAGGAACATCTCAGCAGTGTTGATTAATTCAGCTGTGGTTTCATGAGCAGGGTCAACAATGAAGACCTAAAGGGGCAAGGGAAAAAAAATGTGAGCGACACTCTTCAACACCACAGGTCAATGGGAACTCCGTCAGTCTGTTCTGACGCAACCTTTCTGGCCTCTACCAAAGGAGAGTCCAGGAATAGCGGTCAACCTTCCCATGTGTGCAGAGAATGGAGCATCTTGGACTCTGTACAACTCTGTACAACAGGTTGACACCTAATGGGCCCTATACCCAACAGATACCGGGCCCTGCTAATGAGACCACAGGAGAAGCCAGAAATTACCTTTGCTGCATATTCATTTCTAAAGATATTTACAGGAAGTACTCATTCAGAGTTCAATTTTTAAACCATAACAATAACTATTATGATTTAAGAATTTAAAATGTGCTTATACACACACACACACACACACACACACACACAGATAATTTAATAAAGATCAGACATATGGTAAGAGATAAAGTTTGAAAATCTGATGAGGCAGGAAAAACAGGGTTTCAAGGTCGAAGAAAATTGTAGATGGTAATTTCCCTTACTAGTTCAAGGAAGCCGACCTTGGCAATAACCAGCCCTCTCCCCCGCCCCCCATCTCTTTAGAGGGCAGTAAGAAACAAGAGGACGCAAGGAGTAACTAAAAGAGAGTTTCCTCCATCAACAGCCTCAACAGGAAAAACAAATTGTCATTCGTCAATAAAGAATGACAAATAAGAACCAATAGGTTTACTTCAAAGGATAAATTGAAATACTAAATTTTAGAAATTTGGATCTTAAAAACAAAAAATGAAAATGTACTCATCTTGTGAGTAAAAGGAAAAAGAATCTTCAAGTGAAAGTACCACCTACTATAGCTCAGTCAAGACAGAAGGTTTCCTGTCAAAACCCACAGAAGCTCTGGCTGCGACCTCTCACGGTCCTACAGAGCTAACCAGGGCACTGTCAGTTTGAAGATGGAACTAGAAAAAAAGGGAATTTGGGGGCTGGAGCGATAGCACAGTGGGTAGGGCATTTGCCTTGAATGCGGTCAATCCGGGTTGGATTCCCAGCATCCCATAGGATCCCCTGAGAACCACCAGGAGTAATTCCTGAGTGCAGAGCCAGGAGTAACCCCTGTGCATCACCAGGTGTGACCCAAAAAGTCAAAAAAAAAAAAAAAAGAAAACGGGAATTTAGTGGTGGCAGAAAAAGGAGTTAGCAAAGAGTGAACATTCTAGATATGCTGAAAAGAGGCAGAGGAAAAGGCAAGGGAAAGATGCTTCCCAACCACACGAGGAAAAGGCAAGGGAAAGATGCTTCCCAACCACACTGTATGGAGTCTTACCATGTTGTGCAAGTTCTTCCTGATCTGCCGGATAACACCAGGAAAGGTGGGTCGAAGCAGCTCTTGTAGACTAGAAGGCCACGAATTATATCTGCTATCAACTTCCAGGTTGTTGACCCACTAGGAATAAAAAAGGTGTGGAATATAATTTTAATCACCATCAATAAATTTTTCAGTAATAAGACTTTGTTTTAAGAAGAAAGCCAGCCAGATAATCTCGTCATCGGCCACAACAGAGTCAAATATCCTTCTCTCCCGGAAGGGGGCATAACATGACACACACCATAACCATGCTGTTGGACTCCGCACCAGCTGTTTCATTCGGGGCTCCCTGAAGCGGGGCAGGTGAGATTCCCTCCCCGCTCCAGGGTCCCAGCCCTGGCAGCTGAAAACCTCCAGAACTCAACCACCACCATGCTCACGGCCACTCTCCACATGCTCAGGTCAAGCCTTACCCAGAAGTGGACGTATCTCTGAACTGCACAGTCTCATTGCGGCCACACAACAACTCATACCTCACACCACCCATACTCCAAGAGTACCACACCACATTTGATGGGATTTAAAGTAGGAAGAACCATTCTTAGAGGGAAATTTTTATAAAATAGATTTTTAAAAATAAGAAACCCATAAGACTACTGTACACAAATTTAGTTGAAAATGAATGACTAAAACACAGCCATAGAATGCTATATGTTCACGACCTACAAAGTCAAAGAATGACAAGAATATGTGTGAAATTTAATATACCATCAAAGGGCCTAACAACATATGAAAGATGAAAAATGTGAATAATAAATTTACAGAGTTGGGAAATAATAGAGCGGTAACACACTTGCTCTGCATGCAGCAGACCCAGGTTCGATCCCAAGCCCCACCAGGAGTGATCCCTGAGCACAGAGCCAGAAATAAGCCCTAAGCACCACTGGATGTGCCCTACTCCCCTGCAAAAAAAAAAAAAAATTTACAGGGGAAATCTAAATGGTGAATTAACAGAGTACATGTATTGTCACCAATATAATACCAACTTCAGCCACAACAAAATTTCACCTCCTAAAACTGAAAACAGGTCTCAGTATCTAAGAACAGGTTACCAGAGAGAGCAATGGGAACACTCGTTCCCAGGAACAGGTCTGTAATCACTCAGAGAAGATGATCTAATAGAGATGGAGACTTCATTACTGCACAGCCATTCAGTTCTCCATCCAGTTCCAGGAATCTACCCAAATAAATTCTCATGTGTATACAAAAAGGATCATTAGCCTGTATCAAAATGAAAGGAAGTAAGGATCAACAAGGCTGCAGAGGAAAAGGAGGGCTGTTGCATTGCATGGAGGGAATATATATTTATGCAGCTGTTACGGAAAATGGTTCAGAGATTCCTCTAAAAAAAAAAAGTAAACAAAATTTTTGTATGATTCAGCAATGCCACTCCCAGTCTCTTCTCCAAAAGCACAACATCACTAATTTGAAATGATATGTAAACCTCTGTTTCAGAGAAGTATTACAACAGCCAAAATATGGATCAACCTAAATGCCCATCAACAGATAAGCAAAGAAAGGTGTGTGTATGTGTGTGTGTGTGTATATGAGAGAGAGAGAGAGAGAGAGAGAGAGAGAGAGAGAGAGAGAGAGAGAGAGAGATGCGGTGCGTGCTTGTGCTCCATGAAATACTACTCTACTATTAAGAAATATAAAACTGACTTGCTTGTTTTGGTTTGGTTTAGTTTGGGGGCCACACCCAGAGGTGCTCAGGGCTCACTCTCGGCTCTGTCCTAAGGGATCGTTCCTGGGGGACTCGGGGGGACCTTATGGGGTGCATACTGAGGATTAAACCTGGGTCGGCCAAGTATAATGCAAGTGCCCTACCTCATAGAAAAATGAAATTGTTCTTTTGGAAACAAAATAGATAGAACATGAGTCCTTCTAAAGAAGGCTCTAAAAAATAAAACTGACATATAAAATAAAATTATGGAAAAGCTGTATGCCTCTCAGGAATCAAACCAAGTAAAATCCTCGTTCCTGAGAGTCAAATGTTCAATGCATCCAAAGGAGGACACAAAAGTAGAAATTTAACTGTCTTAACCACATTCAAATGCAGTAGCTCAGGTTTTGGGGAGACTTACAAGTTCCATATAAACAGTTGCTAAAAAAAATCTTTGATAGTAGCATGACTAAACAGTAACTTACCTCTCATAAGGACAAAAGAAAAGAAAAATAAAATACCTGGCCCAGGGTCACTGAGCACTAAGGTGATACCTACTGAAATTGCAGGGCTCCTGATGTCCACTGCATAGTCGGCCTCAGACGGCTGGATGTTCAGCTTCAAGACATTATGCAGAGATGTGCCTTCTATGCCCAGCCTGTGCAGGCCCTCCATCACCCGGGCTTCATTCCTCAACACATCGAACAGACTGCGGACGGGGAGCAAAGATCAGAGAAGCATAAACACTAAGAAAACCATTTAGACCGCAAAATGCCTATGGAACCAGTTGAAAAATAAAAAATGGGAGCTGCTCCCTTTGATTCATCAAAATATGTAGAATAAAGTAAGTAGGACTAGCTTGTTTTTATTTTTGCCTATTATCATATGCATTACGTACAGAAATCCTCACTCAATATCGACACACAGAAGCTAGGGAGACAGTACAGTAGGCAGGACACTTGCCTTGCACAGGCCAACCCAGGTCCAATCCCTGGCACTGCGTATGGTATCCCAAGCCTTGCCAGGAAGAATCCCTGAGCAAGACCAGGTTTGGCCCAAAAACAAAACACAAAAAAATTCACTTCATCTGTTAATTCATTTAATCTCTTACAAATGCACATGAATCCTAAATTCATTTCAAATCTGTTTAAAAAGACTAGAAAGTCTATATGTTGAATATGAGCATCAATGTACCCACACAAATACAGATGCCACAGAAAAGGGTCTCACACTCCTTTAGTTTTTCTGGGAGAGGCAGGAAACAGAGGAGAAAAAGATGGATTAAAAACTTAGTTCTCTATTATTTAAAATGGTTATAATGAGCAAGTTCTCTGTACACTGAAATATTTTAAATGCTTTTTTTTTTAACTGAAAATCAATGAACAGGGAATCTTTGATTTGTTTTGTTTTGGGGCCACACCCAGCAATGCTTAGGGGTTATTTCTGGCTCTGCACTCAGGTATCCAGGCAGGGGACCATATGGGGTGTCAGGCATCAAACTCAGGTCAGCCACATATAAGGCAAGTGACCTGCCCACTAAACTATTGCTCCTACCCCTTTTTCTTTTTTTCACTTTTAATTGCCATTCCCACTGGTGCTCAGGTCCATTGTCATCAGGGTCATGAGAACCACATGATGCTAGAAAACACAACTCTGGGCCAGAACCCACAACCACACACTCTACCTCTTGATCGACACCCCAAGCCCAGAAATGGGCTGTCTCTGAAGAATGCTTTGCTAATTTTTCACAGGCTCTATAACGCAATATACAAAAATAAAAGCTCAATTTGGTAAACAGCGTGAAAAAAATCTTACTATGGAAACTGCTTCTTCTGAAGGATCAGTAAGTCTTTGGTTTTGCTATAATGAAGCCATAGCATCAACCCTGTCCATTTTAATTCCAAGGCTAAAGCAGGAATTCTACATCCATGCCAATGACACTTCGATTCATGAAGACAAATCATGAGTTTAGTACTGGATCACATCTTTTCTTTTCGTAGTTTAGCTAACATGGTGTCTGCAATTGATACTGGTATTACCACTGGTATTGCTACACAAGGTACTGCTCCCCCCCCCCCCCCACTACCACCACCCGAATGTCCAGGAACCTCCACTGCCCCTACCTCCCCTCGGGTCCACTTTTACTTCCCCACACTTCCTGCACTGCTTGGTAATCCAAGGTCAGAGTTTGTCATCATGTGATTTGGTCTATTCCCACATTTGTCTCTCTATAAACCAAGGATAAGTGAGATCATCCATTATTTGTCTTTCTTCCTCTAACTTACAATTACTTTACATGATGTTCTCCAGATTCATGCAAGTTGCACAAGAGTTCATCTTTTTTTTACAGCAGGATAGTATTCCTCTATGTGTGTGTGTTTGGGGGGGAGGGGGTGTATGTGTGTGTGTGTGTCTGTCTATCACAGATTCTTCATATGTTCACTTGTTATTGGGCATTTGGGTTGTTTCCATAATCTGGCTATTGTATTAAGTGCTACAATGAACAAAGGTGTGTTCATCTTTTCAAATAAAGTGTTCTTTTGTTTGGGGGGGGATAGATGCCAAAAAGTGGATCACTGGGTCACATGAAAGCTCCATACTGTTTTCCACAGGCGCAGAACCAAACAATATTCCCACCAAGAGCGGATGAGAGCCCTGTCTCCATGCCTAATCGCCCGCTGTTTACAGGCTACGATATGTGCCACTTCACTGGTGGGAGATATCTCAGTGTCATCTTGATTTGGATTTCCCTAATGGTAAATGACTAGAAACTCTTTGTCATTGCCTATTGGTCATCTGTATGTCTTCTTCAGCGGATTATTGGAGCACTGTGAGTGTTGCGTATATCTTGAGACATTAGCCTTTATTTTATGGATAGTGTACAAATATCTCCTCCCACTCAGTAGGGTGCACTTATTTCTTAGTCCCCATTTCTTCTGACATACAAAAACTTCTTAATTTGATCTAGTACCATCTATTCACTGTGATCTTGACCAACAGAGTCAAATCACTGAAGATACCTCTGAGGTCCACGGCCTAGATTGCTGCCTATGTTTTCCTCACTGCATTTTATGAATTCTGGTTCAACTGTGAGGCCTGTCACACACTTTAAATTAACTTCGGTGAAAAGCAGATTCAGCTTCACTTTGGGCGTGAGGTTCTCCAAGCTCTGCCGACACTATTTGTTAAAGGGGCTTTCTGTGCTCTTCCTCTGCTCCACTTCACCTGCTCAGCTGCTCTGTCATAAATTAACTGTCCATCAACCCAAGGGCTAATCTCTGGGATCTCAATTCATCTTTAATAGGGCCACTTTTTTTTTTAAAGGCAGGTATTCAAAGGATATTCAAAGGTATTCAAATATTCAAAGGTATTCAATAGTAAAGGAATCTGTTCTTTTCCATTTCTATGATTAACCAGGGGCCAGAGCGATAGCATAGCGGGTAGGGCATCTGCCTTGCGCGCAGCCGATCTGGGTTCGATTCCTCCATCCCTCTCAGAGAACCCGACAAGCTACCGAGAGTATCCCACACACATGGCAAAGCCTGGCAAGCTACCTGTGATGTATTCAATATGTCAAACACAGTAACAAGAAGTCTCACAATGGAGATGCTACTAGTGCCCACTTGAGAAAATCGATGAACAACGGGAGGACAGTGACAGTGATAGTGGCAGTGATGATTAACCAGAAAACTGTCTCTATAGCAGGATGCATACAAGACCTTTGCGTGTTAAATGCCCAAGGCCTACGGTGCCCATTCAAATGAACACTCATGAGGTCATGGCCCATCCTCGCCTGAACAGGAGTGATGAAGACACACATGGGGCCCCAGTACCCACCAGGATGCATCAAGCAAAAATTCAGTCTCACGCTCACATTATTAAAAACTATTCAGGTGTCAGAGAGAAAGGACCATCCGCACTGCCCGCTGCCAACTGGGTTTGGTTCTCTGCACCACACATGGCCCCCTGAGCCCAACAGGAGTAAGCCCTGAGAGAGGATGACGCCTGAGCACCACAAGGTGTAACCAACCCCCACCCCCCATCAGCACCACACACACACAAGATTAAAGTACATTTTTTAATTTTTAAAATTACTGAAAGGACAATTTTTAATTTTCAAAAATTACTGAAAGGATAAAAAGTATTCTCAGAACCTGAACGAGAACAGAGCAAGCTGAACCATATATATATATATGCATACAGAAGACCCAGAACCAAATAGCCCCTTAAGCACCATCAGCAAGGAGTAGGCCTCGAGTACCACCAGGTGTGGCCCAATCCTCTCTCCAAAAAAAACCCCAAAACTAAGAGAACTCTAATCATACCTGAATATGTCCTGTGTGTCCAAGTCAATATGGAGTCCATTGATGAACAGGGCCGAATCCCCAGGCTGTAATCCTAAAGTCCCCTTGAAATACTGGAATAGTAAAAAGAACAGGAAGAAGCAGGAAGAGAGTTGACAAGCGAGTTGAGAGCCACTTCTTGAAAGGAGGAAGCCCTCAGGCTGGAATGAGACTTCCTTTATCGCCATCCACAGATCCCTCTTAGCATCTGTACACAACCAGGAGACCACTGCGGAAAGCGAGGCCCCCTCCCCCACCCCCCCTTCCAGTGATCCATACTGCGACTCTCTGATGGTGGAGGTTTGCAAGCAGGGAAACTGCTAAATCCCCTCTGCTGATGGTCACATTGTCAAAGAAATTGTCGCTCTTCCCACCCTGACGCAGCAACCAAGGAGCCGACAGTATCCAAAACTGACACAAGTCCAGGTGCTCATCTAAAACGGTCTTAAGCCACCACAAATCCTGTAAGCCATCCCAAGCACCGAGGGACTCTGGGCTCGTATACTAAGAAGGAACCTCATTGCAACTGAGTTCTGGGGGTCGCCTCAGCCTGCTCCATGGGAGGTCACCGTGGGACCTGACTATACCCCCGTAGCCCTCAAGCCCATCCCAACTTCGCAGACACAGCTCCAGTGCCACTATTCTAGAGAAGTCCAGCTACTCGGACACCCTAGAGCACAGGAAATATCGGGTAGGAGGGGGAGAACGTGACTCCTCAGCTCTCCCGGGCTGGGGGAAGGAGGCCAGGGACAGCCTCAGAGGAATAAGACTGCAGGGCTGGACACAGGCTCACAGGCGGGACTCCGGGCTCAATCCCAGAACCAGCTGGTGCCCTGAGCACTGCCAGCTGAGTGATACCAGAGTTCTAAGCCAGGAGTGGCCCTGAGCACACCAGGAGCAGCCCGAAAATGGAAAATGTAGGTAAGGGTCTGGTATCTTATGAGGAAACCGGGAAACCAGGCAATGGGGAAGTCACAGCTTTTCCTTCTGTACCTGCTGAGGAGCAGGGAGGGGAGAAGTGGAAATTTGCATTGGCTTTAAGATAAATTTTTCCCCTCAGGAGAGAAAAGATGTATCTATTTACATGCAGGTGTCTACCGGGAGCAATCCCTGAGCAGAGCCAGGAGTAAGCACTGAAGACTGCTAAATGTGGCCCAAAACCAAAAACAAAAACAAAAAAGAGGAAAGGGGAAGGGGAAGGGGAAGGGGAAGGGGAAGGGGAAGGGGGAAAGAAAAGAAAAGAAAAGAAAAGAAAAGAAAAGAAAAGAAAAGAAAAGAAAAGAACAGAACAGAACCAGAGAGTAAGATCCCAGAGCTGAGGTGCTGGAGGTCGGGATTCATTCCCAGCACAAGGTGCCCTGAAGCAACACCATGAATGGGCCCTGAGCACAGACAGGGAGTGTGGCCCAAACACCCAAACACCAAAAGGAGAAAAGGGAAAAAAAAAAAACCATCAGATTCTTTTGACAATTGTCTCCAACCCTTCAGCTAGGAATTAAAAGCAAATGCTTCTAGAAAGAGGGCATGAAGGAGGAGTAAGAAGTTAAGGGCTTTGCTAAACAAAGTTGTGGCACCTTTTGATGCTTTGAATTTTACATTCACACTTTGATTAGTAATGTGCATAAATATAACATTAATAAAATACCACTATTTCTAATAAAACGTAATTAACCCAGATTGCCTCACTGAAGACAACACAAAACAGAAAGGCCACCGTTCCCCAGGTCAGTACCTTCTGATTCTCTTCCACTTCAGTTCGAAGTTCTGAACTCACAGCTGTTTTGGTTATTGCTCTAAGGAAATAAAAGCATGAATTGGTTTCACACTTCATACAAACGTCTTCAATTTTCTATGAAACGGGCTAGAGCGATAGTACAGCGTTAGGGCGTTTGCCTTACGCGAAGCCGGCCCCGTCAAGCCGGGTTTGATTCCTCCGCCCCTCTTGGAGAGCCCGGCAAGCTACCAAGAGCATCTCGCCCGCATGGCAAAGCCTGGCAAGCTACCCGTGACATATTCTATATGCCAAACACAGTAACAAGTCTCACGATGGAGACGTTACTGGGCCCGCTCGAGCAAATCGATGAACAACGGGAGGACATATGAAACAACACATTAGCTCGAGAAATCAAAAAAAGAGTGGAAGAGAACTAAAACTTCACAACTGAGCAATATATTTCTCCTCTCAGATGTGCATTTTTTTTTTCAAAATTAAAAGGTCCAAAACCAAGGCAAAGTGGCTGTGACAGAAGCATTTTAAAGCAAGTACATTACTCCCATTATCTTAAGATTTGTGCAAAGCCTGGCAAGCTACCCGTGGCGTATTTGATATGCCAAAAACAGTAACAAGTCTCACAATAGAGACATTACTGGCGCCCGCTCGAGCAAATCGATGAACAACAGGAGGACAGTGCTACAGTGCAGTCCTATTTAGGTTTGTGACTGCTCACAGGCTAAAGAATCATATTGAATAAATGAAGGCCAGACTGCTGGGTCTATGGAGATGCCTCTCGTCGTTGCCATGTTGAGCTCTCCCAGCATCCCCCGAGGTGAGGGAATATCTCCCAGGCCAAAACAGGCGAGTCAGTACGACATGAGTTCTAAGTCTGAGAAGGTATTTTTCAAGACTAATCAATGAACAAATTTATTCACAAAATATCACTCCTCAGAAGTCAAAACCCTTCATTCAGAGAAAAAGATTAGCAACCAATTTAACTGCCAAACAAGTTGCCCTACAATTACGTTTTCTTGACTCAGTTAAAAAGCAGTATCAGGAAAGATGCAGGCAAAATATTACACTGTCACTAGAAACAAGTCTGTCTCTGAGGCTCATTGTCCTTCAATAAGACTAAATAAGATGATACATATGGAAGTTTCTGGGAAGAAAACACTGGTCCAAGCCAGGCCCTAGATCACCTGCCACACACTGGACTGTGTTAACACAGGACTGACAGGCAGGCACCCTGTCTCTGTCCTACTGCTCAGGAAAGTGACCTCCAGAGCATTTCTTATTTGCAAACGCTACATAAGTAGTAAATGGTAGTGCAGAGAGCACAGCCCAGACCTATCTCTCCAACCACACTCTCAGAGTGCCGTATCCACTGCTTTAAGGAAACTCAAAGTATAGCATACAAAGGAAACAATGATTTGCTAAGCACTGTCCTATTTTAATGGATGCATTTTTCACCTCAGGATGAAGACAAGAATGCATTTGTCACACAGCTTACCTGGCTTTCGTTGGAAAGTTTTGACTAAGATCCTTCATGACTACCAACGCTAACTCAACAGGAGCAGCCAGGATCCGGGCAGCGGTCTGGAAACTTAGGTCTGAAAAGATGCCAAATACAATTCAAAGTGGATTAATGTTCTGTACTGTAAAGAAATGGAAAAGCACATTTACATCACACGAGAATTTTGGTGTGTGATGACTTTAGAATGCAACCATTTATAGGACTTACACTGCAATTTCATGGTTTGCATTTTGGGCTAGAGCCACAGCACGGGGGTAGGGCGTTTGCCTTGCACCTGGCCAACCCAGGTTCGATTCCTCTGTCTGTCGAGGAGAGCCTGGCAAACTACCAAGAGTATCCCGCCTGCATGGCAGAGCCTGGCAAGCTCCTCATGGCATATTCGATATGCCAAAAACAGTAATAACAAGTCTCACAATAGAGACATTACTGGTGCCCGCTTGAGCAAATCAATGAACATGGGACAGTGCTACAGACAGTGCAAGGTGAATTTTATATCAACAGTAGAGCCCCTCCCCCACTTCAGGCTGGGCCCTGCAGCCTCCACACCTGACCTGTGCCATATAACCCCTAAACTAACACCTCAGATCCGAGCCTTTGCTCACCGCTCCACCCGACCACTGAGGTTAATCTCTGGCTACACCACTGCCACAAAAAGGACACATAGTAAGAGAACAAGTGGGACCTAAAGATTCTGTCTACAGAACTGAGTTTACAGGGAGGGGTCAGAAGAAACACAGGAAAGTGTGATGAACAGTATAAATCCTGGGACCACAAAATAAATGGTTCCCAGGAATAAGATAAAAGCATAAATAGACCAGAGCGGTGGTACACTGGGTAGGGCATTTGCCTTGCACACAGCTGAGCCAGGTTCAATCCCTGGTACCCCAAACAGATTCCCAATCCCACCACAAGAGACCCCTTCAGCACAAAGCTGGGAGTAAGCCCTGATCACTGCCCAAAACAGAGCCAAAAACAAACAAAAGAATATAAATACTACATAGAATAGGTATGCAATAACCCATTCAATTCATCCAAATCTTTATTCTTCTTCTGATTTTACAACATATTACAAAGTATAATGAAGCACTTTGATAAAAGAATTTGAGGGGAAAAAAACAAAACAATCCTTCGGAAAAGTACATGTGCATCCAGACACACTAACATGCCTTTAACATTCGAAAGAAACTTCTTGCTTTTTTTTTTTTAATAGAAGATTTTTATTTTAAATCAGGATGAGCGATGCTCAGGGGTTACTCCTGGCTCTGCACTCAGGAACTACTCCTGGTGGTGCTTAGGGGATGATAGGACATGCCGGGATCAGCAGATTGAACCCAGGTCAGCTGTGTGCAAGGCAACTGTCCGCCCTGCCTGGCAGAAACTTTATTCTAGGAATGTGTACAGTGGCCAGGGAAGGAAGGTAACTAGCTGACACACATGCTTTGCATGTGAAAGACCAGATTCAATAGCCAGCATGGCTGTTCCCCAGAGCACTACTTGGGAGCAGCCCCTGAACAGAGCTGGCATGGCTCAAAACCACCAGGGAAGGAGGGAAGGGAGGGCGGGAGGAAGGGTGGGGACAAGGGAGGGAAGCTCTTTAAAAAGAAAAATACAATGACATGACAAACATGTTTCCAATATTACTGGTTTGTATATATGGTTATAGAGAAAGATCCGGGATTTGTTGATTGAATATTACTATTACTATTAAATATTAGAAAATGGCTTCCTTTCTTTGGTAATTAATCATGTCATTCTACCTTTAAAAGTTGTGACACCTCAGAATCGTGTAAATAAATACAATTAAATTAAAATCACACCTTTTTAATACCACACTATAAAATTGAGTCATCAACAGGGCAGGAAGCTGGAAAGACAGGCCGCAGTCATGGGCACAGGCCTGGGGCCCCAGTTTAACCTCTGACACCACAGGGTCCCCACAAGCACCTCCAGGTGTGGTCCCAGGTGCCTGAGAACCACCGGGTGGTCTTGGTGTCCCCAAAACAACTTGTGGCCCATCAGCACTGAATCCTCAGGCCCAGAGCCAACCCAGAGTGGGCTCTGGGCCCCAGAACTCTGCCTGGGAGCTCTGTACACAGAAGCACAGCCAAGGAAGGGCCCCTCATCCTCAGAGCCCAGACCCCAACTCTGGCATGGACCCCTGCTTCCCTCGAAGCCCGGAGCTCAGGGCTTGCATTCTCCCGAGGGCACGGGTCTCTCCCTTGGGCCCTTCCTCTCCCTCTGGAGAGTCCCATTCTCCTCAGGATTAGTATACTTCTTCAATCACACAATTTTATTCAACCCAAAGACAAAAACAGGAAGTCATTGATATTTTTATTACCTTGCAACTGCCAGACCTTTAAAGGTGCCATTTCATTCGTGCTCTCCACGAGATGCCTCCTGAGCTCTTTCAGCTGCTCCCTCAGCTGCGGGTGCAGGTCCCTGAAGGAAACACAAAACCAGGCCTTTACATGTGCCTTCACATGTGCCATCACATGTGCTATGCATGTGCCTTGCCTTTCCCATCCCGCACTGACAAGATGCCTGCGACTTTGTATTCATCATCTTCTCCTCTTAGTAAAATTAAAAAGAATCCTCCAGTACACCCCAACAAAAGATATTACTGTTCTTTAAAAATGTATGTTAATATATGGGCCAGAGGGATAGCACAACGGGTAGGGCATTTGCCTTGCATGCCACCGACCCGGGTTCGATCCTCGGCATCCCATATGGTCCCCTGAGCACCACCAGGAGTAATTCCTGAGTGCAGAGCCAGGAGTAACCCCTGAGCATTGCCAGGTGTGACCCCCCCCCCAAGAAAAGCTAAATAAATAATAAAATAAACAAATAAACAAATTTTTAAAAATGTGTGTTAATATAGAAAAGTATAATTTTATTTGAAAACCATAACATTTAAACAGAATTTTTTTTAATGCCATTACAAGAGGAATTTTCTCGAGGGAGGAGGGGAAGGGGAGAGACTGCAGGAGGGAAGTCAAGCAGCCTCGAGCCTACACCCACTGTGACCTGCACACCGTCTCCTCACATGAGGGGAGGCATCTGCAGGGTCTGTGAAGTTCTTTGGAAGAGAAAACAAACATGAGATATTTAAAAAGTGATATTAAAAAAAAAAAACTCAATAGAGGCTCTGAGAACAACAGCTGAGGAAAAGAGTGAAGAGCTCCAAGATGAGAGGTCAAAAACCTCTAGAAAATAACATAATATAGGGGGGAAAAAAAATAAAGGAGTCTAAAAATAAATGAGCAGCACATCAGAGAACTCTTGGGTTGGGTTCAAGAGGAACAACATAAGAATCACTGGAGTCTCTGAAGAACAGGAGAATGAATTCGATGAAAAAAAAACCATAGATAAAGAAATCATAGATAAGAAATTCCCAGAGTTGAGGAATACAGGAACCCACATCCAAAAGGTCCTGGTGAAAACAGACTCAACAGAATGACAAGAACCAAGGACAGAATACAGCAAGATCAAAAAAGGAAACTAAATACAACGGAAAGTCTACAAGATTCACAACAGATCTAGCAAGTGAGATTTACAAGCCTGAGAGAAAAGGGGAATACAGAACAAAAATTCATCAAAATGAACACCTCAACCAAGAATAACCTATCCAGCTATACTGTCATTCAGATTTGAAGGAACGACACAGCTTCACAGACAGCCAACAGCTCAGGGAATTCACAGGCCTGAAACCTGGTTTGCAAGAAGCATTTTAAAAGTTCCTTTAAAGGAGAGGAAAAACTTCCCATCATGTGGCCGTGAGCATGGCTCTCACTCACAGTGTTTAGGGGTGCCCTCCCCTGGATTAAGAAACGTATAATTACTTCTAGCTGGTTATGAGATTCTTAAACAAAGTTTTTAATGATAAATTAACATCAGATTTATATAGTGTTTTATACCTCGTTAGGTGTTTTTGTTTTTAACATCCATGAGATTTTATTACAATATTTTACTTATTAATACAGAGAGTTAAGCATTATCTATGCTTTCTAACCTAAATCTAATACTTCCTTTCTTTTTTTTTTTTTGTTTTCCCTTTATTTTATTTTATTGTTTTTTACAGTTGTAGATTTACAATTTTTTGTGCTTTGGTTTCAATTATACAATGATCAGATACCCATCCCTCCACCAGTGCCCATTTTCCACCACCATGGATAATATCCCTCCCACCCCCATCCCCCCATCCCCCCTGTCTCTGTGGCAGGGCAATCCCCTGTGTTCTCTCTCTCCTTTTGGGTGTTGTGGTCTGCAAAAGAGGCATTGAGTGGCAAACATGTCCAGTCCATAGTCTACTTTCGACATGCATCTCCCCTCCTGGGAGGATCATCCAAACATCCTTTATTTAGTGCTCCCTTCTCTATCTGAACTGCCCTTTCCTCTAGGATACCCGCTGGCCTCTAAGTTATGGAGTAATCATCCTGGTGCTGATCTCAGCTATTCTTGGATATTAATCTCATACTTTGTTACTTTATATCCCCCAGATGAATGCAATCTTTCTATGTCTATCCCTCTCTTTCTGACTCATTTCGCTTAGCATGATGCTTTCCATGTTGTACCACTTGTATGTAAATTTCATGACTTCATCTTTTCTAAGAGCTACATATAATACTTCCTTTCTTAGGATTAAAAAGCACCTTCATTTTTATAGCCTATTCATATTTTCCCACTTAAAATTTTCTTTATTCTCCCCGTTTAACTATGAGAGCTAGGATAGAAAATCAACATAAGCCACAGGCAGGCAGTGAAAATATCACTGAGGAACAATATGCCTCGGAATGACTAGGAAACAAGGGCTGGAGCGACGGCACAGCTGGTAGGGTGCTTGCCTTGCATGTGGCCAGCCCGGGATCCAGCCTGCCTGGACTTGATACCCAGAATCCCACACACTGCCAGGAGTAATTACTTAGCACAGTCAGGAGTAAGCCATGAGCACCATTGTGTGTGCCCAAAAACAAAATGACTAGAAAACAAAGGGCATTCTACTTGGCATCAGACTAAAGACATTAAGTAGTGTTAGGAAATTCGAGCCCTAACAGTAATGAGAAAGATGATACATGCAGTGCAAGGAAATCAGAAATTTAAAGAGATGGAGATTTTTTCCAAAACCGTGTATTTGTATGTACCTTAATTTTCCAAAGAGAAACCCCTGAACTTCATCAATGGGATCATTTTCTCCAATCACTGTGGTGTTTACTTCAGCTCCTATAGGAGTACAGCAAATACACATTTAACTGGCCAACTGGAAATTAAAAATGCTATTAAACTCGTACTTTTGTGCATCTGGTACTGAGGACTGACCCAGGCCTGATCCCAGTCACACGGGATCGGACCCTCGCCATGAAATGTGAATGCAAAAAGTTGTAAAAAAGGTCAACTTGCAATACCATTTAAAATGTTTAACACAAAAAATTAAAATGGGGAATAAGAAATAATTTAACATTTTTCTGTGGTTCTTAAAGCAAGCAGAATATATGTGCTTTAAGATTTCTTCTGAGCCTATCAAAAGCTTGATTTTTGGCCAGAGAGCTAGTGCAGGTATCAGGGCATTTGCCTAGCTCAAGGCTCCTCCTGTTTTGCCGCTAAGCAGTGCACAGCATGGCAGGGTGCAAGCCAAGAGGCCCGAGCAACACAAGATGTGGTCCTGGAGAACTCCAAACACCAGTGGAATTGGATCAGTTCCAGGCACTGTAGGACCTGAGCAGCCCTGCATCTTCAGAACCCTGCGTAACAGGCCGAAGAATCAGGAGGAAGGGCCACCAGGTCCCCTAGTTCTCCTGAGCACCACTTAGGAGGACCGTTCCCCAAAATGTCAATATTCCGGCCCAATGATATGGCTCAAATACAGGTTCATGCCTTGTATATGTGAGGCCTGGTTCAGTCCCGGCACTGAAGCCTACTTCCACCCGAAACAGTACCACCAATGCTGGCCCCAGAGTCCAAGGGCTGGAAGACCACTGGAAGTGGCCATGACACCCAGAACTCACAGGTGTTCCATACCACATGCTTGTTTTTTTTTCCAAAATTAATTCCTTTAAAATTATGAACAATATATTCTTAATGTTTAAAGATCAACATTCTAAATAATTTGCAAAGATAACATTCCTAGGCATGAAAAAAAAAAGATGAGGTACTAGAATATCTTCCATTTATCAATACTGATCATTTTTAATCTTTAAGTTAAAAAGAGGGGCCAGAATGACAATAGAGCAGGCAGGGTGCTTGCTTTGCATGCAGACAACCCAGGTTTAATCCCCAGCATCCCACATGGTCCCCAGACCACTGCCAGGAGTAACTGCTCAGGGCAAAGCCGGTATATACCCTTTGTGGGAAACCCTGTAAAACAGCACGTGTTCCAATAGCTAACTCCACACCCTTGCCAGAGAGTCACGCCCAAGCACTGACAGGTATGCACTCGCTCCGTCTTCCCGCCAAAAAAGGATGAGGAGACAGGGACCAGAGCCTTGCAATGCCATGTGTGGCCCAATATGCAAAAGAAATTATTTTTTTGTTTTAAATAAGGTATTCAAAGTCGTAAAGTATTACAACAGCAAGCATCCAGAGTGAACCATACCAAATGCAGAAAGCAATTTGAAAAGTAGAATTATTCATTAGTTATAGAACCATCTAAAATTCTACATTGGAAAAAAATAAATAAATAAATAAATAAATAAAATAAAATTCTACATTGGGCAACAAATCAATAACATTGTGAACTAAACAAAACCAATATACTCAAGTTTTTTTGTTTTACTGATAGATTATATATACACCTTATTTTCTTCTCATTTTACATTTTGTAAAACTTTAAATTCACCAGTGGTAATTAACTGAAGAGAAAAAAAATGGATATAGATATTTAAGGTCACTCAACTAAGATATAACAGAACCAAGATTCAAGCACAGGTTTGTTCCCTTCAGAAACCTATCATTTTATTAGGAAAACAAGTTCCCCTTGAACTCCTATTTGTGGAAGAGAAACATGGTGGTCTTAATTTACAAATTCACCTTTCACCTGAGTATCATCCTTGGCCTTGTACTCAGTGCTCTTAATGGCCAACTCCACACCGTAGCCAGAGAGGTAGACAGGCTCCTTCCTGGGGTTCTGCAAGACAGCACATGTTCCAACGTTACACCTGGCTCTGAACACACAGCAACCCACACCCACGCACCCATCTGAATGAGGGAAGATGCTGTGCCCTGCCACAGGGATGCAAGCAGAAATTCCCAAACGGTTGCAAAATCAGATGAGGGAGGAGCAGGAGCAATAACACAGCCTGCCTCGCATGTGACTGACTCGGTCAATCCCTGACATCACATATGTCCTGGACCCCACCTGGAGTGATCCCTAAGCATAGAGATAAGAGTAAACCCCGAGCACTGCCAGGTGTGCACTCTCTCCCCCTTCCCCCCAAAAAAGAATGAAGGGACAGGGGTAGAGCAGTAGTATAGCAGGGAGGGCACTTGTCTTGCATGTGGGCAAACCAGGTTTGATCCCTGGTTCCACACATGGTCCCCCAAGCCACACAAGGAATGACCCCTGATCACAGAGCCAGGAATAAGTCCTGTGCACAGCCGATGTAGTCAAAAAAAAAAAAAAAATGAAGACAGTGCAACAGGCACCAATAACCAAATCAGATGAAGAATGGGCGGGGGGGGGGGGGGCGGGGAGGAGAAGAAAAATCAAGAAGCTCCATTGTAGGGCTGGAAGCTGGTAAGAGCTCGGAAGCACCCTGTTGGGACGATGTGTAGGCTGTAGACCTCACTTATGCTGATATGAACCCCAAGTGTTTCAGGCTTCGTCAGTGAACTGCCCCTTCTCCTGCCCCCCCAGAGAAGCTACAGTGCTCTCACAAGTGCTCCTAATCCCCGAGTCTGTCTTTAACCTTTCTTTTGGGCTTGACCCCTCATTGTTAGCTACTAAATTCCTCAAGCCGGTGTTGGTTACGCATAAAGTCAAATCTTATGGTGACTGGATTTTTGTCTTTGTAGTGAATTACTCGCTTTTCTCTTTCGCTTTTAACCTTTTTATATTTTACTATAAAGCAATGTTCTTTGCTTAAACACAGAACATTAAGGCTATGCTTCTAATATCTGGCAATTAACTGACGCTAATATATTTACTCCTGGGCATCTGTCATAATTACTTGACTCAAACATCAGTTGCCATAGTTCCTAACACCCCAGAAAGTGGGGTCCCATCAAGGGACCCAGGGCAAGCGGCAAAGTTACCCCAGCATCGATGGGACCCTTAAAAATCATAAAGCACAGCCTTGGTGCAAGCAGTTAAGAGAGAGGACCCCATGGGGTAGGCAAAGCTAGAACAGCCTGAGGACCTAGTCTGGGATTTACAATAAAAAGCCTAGATGGCTTTTAACCCTTGCTTGCCCTCAGAGCCCAGAGAACTAAGTTTGAAATCTATATCTCTTACTGTGTTTATCCAAATAACTGCAAGTATTAAGAAGAAGTAAACTTAATTGTTTAATATGTACTAGCAGCAAGGGAAAGAGAAAAGCAATACAGATACATACCCCCGAGAGACAGAGTATCTCCTTGAGTTAATCCCAAGAGAATTGCCTCCATCAAAATGCATTACCTCCGTAAATGATGAACCACATCTACATGCAGTCCTGTACCTCGAACCCCCTCTGACTGTCTATATAGGGTGTTCAGCTCTGGAATTAAACAGGCCATTTTTACCACCTATCCGTGAGTCCCCCTCTCTATGTTCCTCTGGGAGGCCTGGGCAGGCAGTTCTCGGCCACCAAACACATTGTGAACCTGGTTAGATTCACAATTTACCTGCCAAGAAACCTTCCCAGACACACAATGGGGACCCAGAACAGCACAGAGTATTGAACCCAACGTACAATAAGCTTTTAGCTATAGCAGACACCTATAATGGAGCTTCACCTATAAGTGAGGCTGAGGTTGTAAGAGTAACAAGAGAACTACATACTGAAATCTACGTACTGCAGTAACAGTTGAAGGCATATGGTCACTCTCTCAAGAATCTTACAGAACAGTGTCCTTATGTTCAGACCACAGCTGACACAAAACTGCAAACATGGGGAGAACTGCCACAAGTGCATATTTTGTGCTGAGTATAAGCATCTTCGGGTGGGTTCAGGGCTAACCAGATGCCATCACTGTCCCCTCCTCAATGAGGATGGTATAACTTCCGCCAGCTTCCCTGTACCAGCAGCAGGAGCCTGGGGAGGGGCCTGGGAGGGGATATCACACTGAACATGCATGAACCTACTGCAGCTCACACAGATTTTCACTTAGATGTGTTTTGATTTACTGGCACAGACTTAGCGCTGCTAACTGAGCAATGGCACAGAATTTTGAAAAGTGACCATGATTTACGGGGCACAAGGGCAGAGGGTCTGGGGACCAACCTGGCATCAGAGCTACCCACAGAGGTGGCTCAACCCTGGGGCCCAAGGACATGGAGCTGTCAGGCCCTGCAGTGCTGAGGGGTTTCTGGGGTCACACTGCAGATGCTCGAGCATCTCGAGGCTATTCCCAGCGGAGCACAGGGTCTGCACGGGGCTGGGGATCAGACGGCAGGACCCCCATGCTGTCTTCCTAGACCCCATATAAATATTTCACATGCCAAATGTCACACAGGGTCTGAGGGCTTTATGTTAAGTCAAGGATGCCAAACCAAAATATAAACAAAAATGTCTTTCTATACTATGATTACCATATTAAATCTGGACTAAACTAATTTGCATGGTTCATTTAAACATAGAAAGCAATCTTTATCAAACCATTTTTAAAAGCATAATGGTTTTACATGTCTTCAGGAAGGCAAGTAGCCTTCTAAGTGCAAATATCAGATTTAAGGTAAGTAGTAAATTTACAGTCAGTCTGAGGAAATAAGCCACTAAAACAATTACAAAATAATCAATACTTACAGATATATAATGTCGAAGCACATAATTGATTTGACCTGCATTACTCTTTGATATGAGCTGGTGATGGAAATTATAAAATTCCTCCTGGCCAATTTCAGAGTAGAAAATCACCACTGGGCTGTCGGGATTAGCTGAGCGATAGATGTGGTCGCCTTTGAACAGCAAAGGTTTGCGTCTGAAAAGCAACAGTGGAACTTGTAAACCTTAGCCAAGCTTGAACATTAAAAATGGTACAAAGCAGAGCTTTGGCTGGAGGAGCTCAGGTCGGGCTCCCGACCACACTGGCGTCCCACGCCTGCCCCATGCCCATACCCGCCACTCAGGCCCAGCCCGGCCCAGCACACAACGACCACTCAGGCCCAGCCCACCCTGCACACAGGCAGAGCGTAGACTGGAACATATATTCTCTGCAATGAGCACAAGATAAACTAAACATGCATGCTCTGTACACGCTCACAGAATAGACTGAACATACACGCTCTGCAATGAGCACCGAATAAACTAAACATACATGCTCTGTACATGCTCGTCGAATAGACTGAACACACATGCTCTGCACATGCACAGAATAGACTGAACATACATGCTTTGCACACGCACACAGGATAGACTGAACATATGTGCTCTGCACACACACATGAGATAGACTGAACATACATGTTCTGCACATGTGCATAGGATAGACTAAACATGTAACTTGACAATTATCAGTGATGCCCCTTCTCTACCCACTTCACTATGGTCTTCCCACCAGTGGATTTTGTAAGTTTCCCTTACAAAATTTTAAACTCCAGACACACCAAATAAACATCTTTAAAAATGACATCTAGATAATATGCCATAAACTTTAACCCCTCAAGTAACAAACTTTCTAAAAACAGATAAAGATGTGAATGAGGATGTTCACTGTGGCACCTAATATTATAATAAGAAAAAACTGGAAACGCCTTTTAAAAACATGAGTACAGGGCCAGGGGGGTCGTACGGGGTGAGGGCATGTGCCTGCATGCAGCAGAACTCAGTATGACCCTACAGCCCACATGAGTAATTCATAGTGCAAACCCAGGTGTAATCCCTAGCATCACCTGGTGTGGCCCAAACACACACACACACACACACACACGAAGAGAAAGAAACATTAAGCAATCTGCCTACATTTTAAAATGAGAAGCAACCAGCCAAAACTCACAAAATCACCTTAAACAATGCAACCGGAATTCAAGATTATTTCACCTGGCTCTAGAACCCACACCCGAAGCCAGTGTTTTCTCCCCTCTCCCGGACCCTAGTCTCCTTCCATTCTGCATTGTTCCTGCACTGCCCCTGTCCTGCCAGGCTGCCCTCCCAGTCTTGAGCCCTGGCGGCCCCTTGGCATGTCCTGGGGTCCCAAATGCCCCAAGTGAAAGCTGCCGATCTAAACCACCCTCTCTAAATTCTGCGACACACACTCCCCCATCCCCCGCCTCCCGCTGGATCTGGGGGAGACATCCAACAGTCTATGCCAAAGCACCGGATTTACCTCTCAGCAGCCGTATGCAGGAGAGTGTCAAGGGCATCAAGCTCACAAGTCTTCTCTCCGTGTACCGAAAGGAAGGAAGAGCAACCTTCAGGGGGAGGTTCGTCAGCTGCTATCTGTCATTTAAGACACAACAGTTTTAACTGCACTAGCCAAAGATGTGTACATGCCACACAGATAATTAGGTAATAATACAATAGCAATAAGCACAACATCAATAAGATCGGCCCATTCTCAACACAGAGATTTGCCCACAAACGACTCAAATGTAAACTCTCACTACCCACCCCCTCCCCGCCCCCCCCCCCCCCCCCCCCCGTTGAAGTCTGGTTTCTCTCTTGAACACTTTCCTCTCTCTCCCCTCCTATATCTCAAAGTAATAGTAAAAACAACTATTTTACTTCAAAACTCCCAAAGGTCTACTGCTGAACATACACTATAGGGCAGGCTTTGCTAAGCTGTGATTTACCACTCAGAGTTTTACTAAGTCAACTGGTATTTTCTTCGGTTCTTTCATTGTAGTTCTTCCCAGCAGCAACCTCTGGGTATTATTGGCTCTGAAACAGAACTTTCAAATTCTATCTCAGAGCCAAAGAGATATAGGCTGAGCACATGCTTCATGCAGAAGTCCAGGTTAGTACCTGGCATAAGGTCCCCCAAGTACCACCAGGAAACGGCAACCACCATCCACCCCCCAACCACCCCCAGCACAGAACTAGGACTAGATTCTGGAGTTCCTCCAACCTCACAAAAAAATAAAATAAAACAATTCCTGTACTGTCCTGTCCGCCCATTGTTCATCAATTTGCTCAAGCGGGCACCAGTAACGTCTCCATTGTGAGACTTGTTGTTACTGTTTTTGGCATATCGAATACGTCACGGGGAGCTTGCCAGGCTCTGCTGTGCAGGCGGGATGCTCTCAGTAGCTTGCCGGGCTCTCCAAGAGGGACAGAGGAATCGAACCCTGGTCAGCCACATGCAAGGCAAATGCCCTACCCACTGTGCTATCGCTCGAGCCCAAATAAAATTCATTCTCAGAAAATATCAAAAAGTAGCCATGGAATACAGATGTACCTTAAAGGAAACTAAACACAATAATTTGAAGTTCCAGAGAATAATTATACCGTCATACTTATAACTGATGTAATTATTGTGAAGTTCAATATATAATTATTATGACAGAATATTTTTTAAAAACTATGCCTATTAGAGGTAGGCTTGAGAGGTGAGTAGGAAAAATAGATAATAATGAAGGGGGAAGTGCAATGGTGGTGGGATTGGTGTTGAAATAACAAATGTAATAAATCATGAACAATTTTTTTTTTTTTTTTTTTTTGCTTTTTGGGTCACATCTGACAATGCACAGGCGTTACTCCTGGCTCTGCACTCAGGAGTTACTTCTGGCGGTGCTCAGGGGACCATATGGGATGCTGGGAATCGAACCTGGGTCGACCACGTGTAAGGCAAACGCCCTACCCGCTGTGCTATCTCTCCAGCCCCATGAACAACTTTATAAAAATAAATTGTTTTTAAAAATCAAACAAACAAACAAAGCCTAAGATTTGTGATCCAAAAGTATCCGAGACAGTCGCTCAGGTTTGGAGTAAAATGTCTCAGTGCCCATCAAAGCAAAATGGCAGTCAACCAGCAACTTTAATGAGAAGCACGATGAAGCATTATAATCAGATGGGAAAAGAAAAAGTATTAAGATGTTCTTTCCTAGACTGCAAAAGAACTTTTTTCAAACAAGAAATCAAAACTGTGCTATGGAAAAATGGTATTAAAACTTTTTTTTTTCCATTTTTCTTGAGACACTGTGATGAATACAATTAATGAATTTCGAGCATGCAGCATTCCAACACCACTTTCGCCACCGGAGTCCCCACGAACACCCGCCAGTGTCCCAAGTGCCCTCCCACTCACGCCCCTGCCTCACTGGAAGGCCCAGTTCTGCAGACCAACTTGGGTTCTGCAGCCTCCAGCCACTAGTTGATCCCTTACTGTTTCTTAACATTCCACACGTGAGCGGTCACCCTGGACCTGTCTCTCTGCTCATGATGTCAGCTTGACACCCTCTCGTCTCATCTGCCCAGTGGTGAACTGCATGACTCCCAGGATGCCAGTGTGTACAGAAAACACAATTTCTTTCTCAAGACCTTTGGCCTTGGCACCTGGGGCGCTTCAATACTGGTAGTGAAACGTTTCATTTCTCGGTCCTGGGAGTAGCCCAACATGCTATCACATGCCCTCTGCATCCGGGAGGCCCGCTCTCAGTCCCTGGCACCACGTGTGCCTCTGATCATCACCAAGAGCCCCCTGAGTAGTTTGCCAGGGGTCACCCCTGAGCACCTCCAGGCAGAGTCCAAACATCACAAACAAGAAACACTAGGCAAGCTTATGCTGTCTGAGCCCATGGGCTGCTTGCGCCCACGTGGCCGAGCACACGTGTCGCTGGAGTTGCCCGAGTACATGTGTCGCCCGCAACTCCCCAATTGAGATGTAGACTTTCATGCTTTCCTGTCTAATTCTGGGATGTGCGCAGGGGCTCTCTGCCCGTGGAGGAAGCCCGAGATCTCTCTTGAGCACGATACTCTCCATTTCTCCCACTTTCTCTTCCTCCTCCCCTTCAAAACCTCCAAATAAAACCTATCTACTTCAAAAGTAAATAAGAAAAGAAAAGAAACAAACACCAGGAACATGTTGTTCCGGTGGCCCTGGGGCTGGCTCTGGCGGCAAGGACCTGCTCGGCCGTGCCAGGCTGGAGTTTTTCCCCCAGCCCCCCACTTGTGCCCGCATGGCCCCGACCTGCTGCTGCTGCAGGGACTCACCCGATGGCAGAGGACAGGCTCTGCAGCCTGACAGCCAGGCACCATGCAGCCTGCAAACTAATGCACGTCACCCTGACAAGCACAGCAGCAGAAAAAGACTTGTGAGCTTGGCAGCCAAGCGCCAGCCCCAGCAAACGCCCACTCAAGCACCATCACCAGAAGCAAGCCCTGAGCCCAGGCAGGGTGTCCCCCAAAACAAAAAAGCACATAAATAAAATTCAGGGCAAGATGGAGCCAGGTCAGCTGCATGCAGGGCAGGCACCGCACCTGCAAGATTCTCCCCAGCCTACACTGATGCAGGCAGAGGCAGGGGGCCTCCGAGCAGCTGCAGGCCCTCCGACCCTACTGCAGTTCTAGGACAACCAGACCAGCAGTTCACTGCAAGGACTCGGAGACGAGCACGGATACCCACGACACCCCAGCAACGCTGCAGTACTCAGGGACCCCCAGAACTACACTCAGCAGTGCTCTGAGGACCATTTGATAACGGAACACAAACCCAGGTCTAACACAAACTAGGCATGCACCCTAACCACTAGGCTATCTCTATTGCCCTTCAAAAAAAACAACACAATTTTTTTAAAAAAGTGAAAAAACCTTCATGAAATGACTGCTTACAAATACGAGGTCAAAGATCAATAAAATAAATAAAATAAGCCTGACATTTGTTGTCAGAACACTTTAATATTTCTTTAGTAGTGACATAATTTTTGATGTCTTGTTTGCTAACAAAAAAAGGACTATTTTCCCCAGATTTCTAGTTCACCATTAATATATAAAAATGCAACTTAACTATTTTTATATCTCTGTGAGAGATTTTCCCAGAAGTAAGCTACTTGATGGCACACTTTTTTTGACTGATGACATCTCCTTTGCTATGCCTCAAGTTTTTGGAATTTAGGAAAGAAATCAGAAGTTTTGCAGTGTTAATTATTTACTTAATTTCGCAAATTTTTTAACTTTATTTTCAGTTTCTGCTTAATGTTTAAAACTGAAGAGCCCTTTCATGTATTAAATAATGAGCACTAAAATAAATTATATGATGAAAATAATTGGAGACGTGAAAATCGCCTTCCCTTCTTAAACAGAAATAAACATTGGGAAAGAAGGGAAAAGTAACATCCTCTTTGCCACAAGTACGAATGACAGAAATGTACAATTTTACCTTCATTTCTGTTGAAATTAAAGCCTGTGAGTTCCATTTTTGGTTCCTTCCCGCTCCTAACCCCTATCAACTTTTGCCTCTCACCTTTTATGTACTGCACTCCTGTTTCCTAACTGCTGAACAATGTATTTGAGTTGTTTTGTTTTTGTTTTTAATTTACAGATCAAATTTATTTTACTATTTTTGCAGAAATTTATTAATTTTGATTGTATTTGTCTATTTTCAAAGCTTCTTTACTTGAGATCCGTAACTGTACATATTGGTGCCCAAAAGTATGACTGTGGAGGAAAAAAACACTTTAAAAATCTGCACTTTTTGTTAAAAGGGAAATTTAGCACTTATATATCTGTGTACAGAAAACTCTTTGATATTCATCCCTGTCACATCTGGCTGTGCGGAGCCTCCCATCAAAGACACTTCAAAACCTGAATATAACATATTTTGGAAGGTTGACTAACCCAATTCCGTGTTTTGATATGCAACAATGTTTCTAATATTTGTATTGAAAAGTTAACCTTTTTTATGCAAATTTATTTTTTCATTGCAGATTTTATTGCAGATTTTATTCACAGTGTCATTTTTTTACTGTCAGAAAAGACACCCCTCTTATCACTGCAACTGCTTTTTAAGTTCAAGAAATCTTTGTACTGATGTAAACTAGTACAGTTATTTTGGATAGTGTTTTGCTAATGAAAGGAGAAACTTTTTCATGCATATTCTATTTTTCAGGAGGAGAGGTTATTTTAATAGTCATAAAATACTTGGAATAATTTTTCATATTGTCATTAATACATTAATATTATTTTGTATTCATATGTAGAAATCTATAATTTTATGACACTAATTGTTAAAGTTTATTTTATGTTGAATTATTTTTTGAGCTGAAATCTTTGCAATATTAAAGCAACTAATTTCTAATTCCCAGTTTCTGTATAGAATTGCTCAAGTGGTTTATGAAGTGTTTGGATCGTAACTATAAATTGCTCTTTAATATGCAAATTAATATTTTCAGTTGATTTTATTTTATATACCTAATGGGGTGTTAAAGCTATTTTTTTTTTCCTAAACAAAAAGAGAACCCAGGGCTGGAGCAATAGCACAGTGGGTAGGGCATTTGCCTTGCATGCGGCCAACCCGGGTTCGATTCCCAGCATCCCATATGGTCCCCTGAGCATCGCCAGGAGTAATTCCTGAGTGCATGAGCCAAGAATAACCCCTGTGCATCACCGAGTGTGACCCAAAAAGCAAAAAAAAGGAGAAGCCATGCATTATGAACACTAGGTAAATAAATGCCTTTAGCTTAAATTCTTTATTCGATATTTTAATTTATTTTATTGTTATCTTTCAGGTGTCTAAATCTCCAGTCTGTCTATTGTACTGGCAACTTAGCTCTGTAATGGAATAGCTTGCTTCCAACTCTTTCATTAAGCAATTTTTAAATTTTAAATATTTGTAATATTATTGACTAATAAACTACTAAGTTATTGGCAACACATTAATTTTTAAAAATATGTTTTTGTGTATTGGTTTTGTAGCCTGTCCCTTTACTATCTGTTTGTAACAGTTTTTCACTGGAGTCTTTCGGATTTTTGCTAGATATTATGTCATCTGCCAAAAGTGAGAGATAGAACTTCCTTTCTAGTTTGGTTCTTTTTTTCTTCCCCACAGTGCATTAAGATGACACATTTTTAAATCTCTCTTAAAATTACACCTTTCTTCCTTTTTTCATCCCCAGATACCTTACTAATACTGTACTGTCCTCCCATTGTTCATCGATTTGCTCAAGCGGGCCCAGTAACGTCTTCATCATAAGACTTGTTGTTACTGTGTTTGGCATATTGAATACGTCATGGGGAGCTTGCCAGGCTTTGCCGTGCGGGCGAGATACTCTCAGTAGCTTGCCGGGCTCTCCAAGAGGGACAGAGGAATCGAACTCGGGTTGGCCAGGTCAGCCACATACAAGGCAAACACCCTACCTGCTAGTGTGTCAGGATGGCCGAGTGATCTAAGGTGCCAGACTCAAGTTTCTACCTTACTAATAGAGAAAACCAAATCATTTTTCTGCTAAATCACCTACATTTTGAATTTCCCTGACTCTGTCCGTGACTGCTTCACACTTCCCACTGCTTTTCAGCCTCAAGGTTCTGATCAGACTCAAAAATAAATAAATAAATAAATAAAAATACACTGGGGGGGAAAAAAAAGATAAACTGTTTCAGCAAGCCTCTGCCTTCTCAATGGAGTCTGGGAGACAGTTCTGTTGGATATTTTTTCCTTTAGTCAATGAAAGTGAGTATAATATATGCAGACATATATGCATATATACACATACACATGTACGGGTGTGTATAGACACACAGACACACAATTTAGGAAGTAGGGAAAAGAGGCATCAACCATCAAATTCAGACCCCAATACAATAATGCAAAATCCAATTTTAGTCATCTGCGAAGTGAAGGTTTAAAAAGAGTTTGGAGGGGCTGGAGACATAGCACAGCAGGTAGGGCGTTTGCCTTGCATGCAGCCAACCCGGGTTCAATTCCCAGCATCCCATAATAGTCCCCTGAGCACCGCCAGGCATAATTCCTGAGTGCAGAGCCAGGAGTAACCCCTGTGCATCGCTGGGTGTGACCCAAAAAGCAAAAAAAATTAAAAAAATAAAGAGTTTGGATATTTCTTTATGAGCAAATCATGAGCATAGCTCTGTAACAAAAACACCGTAGCTGTGGACCTCAAGGCCAGACTGCCACAACAGCCCATCATCACATCCTCTTTCGTCAATAAGCCCAGAGCTCACCTGCTGGAAGGCTTGGATGGTAGCCGAGTACGAACGAAGAGACAGACAAAATTTCAACAAATTCTGCTGCAGAGGTGATAGAAACTGAAATGCGGTCTCCAATATTGCATGATAATGGGAATAATCAGTACCTGTCGGGAAGCACATTAGCCAAAGGAACAACATGACTACAAATATCCATGTCAGAGCAGGTCAGAAAGAATGAAAACTTTACTACGCGGCCACAGGCAAGCAAAGCTTTCCCACTCAACTGTCTAAAACCTAGACTTCCAAACTGTCCAAACCTAGACTTCCCTGGAGTCCACAGTACAGTCTGACTCTCTTCCTCAGACTGTCCCACGACCGTCTTTCTCCCACTTACCTGAAGGCTGACGCCAACCGAATTCCTCAAGGAGAACGCAGCTGAGACAGAGCTGCAGAAACCAGCCCAGCCCTCCCCTGCCCGGCTGGACTAAGCATACCTCTCCTCTGTTCACACAGTTCTGCACTGTTTATGCTTATTCCATCATTCACTGTAAAATTACTTACTCACTACAACCAGCACACCAGCCCCTCAACCCAGCAATTGAGCAGTGTGGCAGAGAAGAGCACAGAATCAAAAGATACTGATAAAATGGTTATCTGGGGTGAGGCATTAAACAAAGAGTTGTAACAAACTAGCTGAAGGAGATAAGTAAGATTTGTGTATCATTACAGAAAACACAGCCTGCAATGTTAAGTGAAATGCACGGGTATAAAGCACTGTATACAGTAAGCAATCTTGTTTCCTGTAAGAAAGGGGAACCAAGCATACATATGTAGCTGTTTTTGTTTTTTCTTTTAGGTTTTTTAAACATGAAATATTAAACAAATTGTTTGCATAGTTATAAAAAGCAAGGTAAGGGATAGGCATAGGGATAGGGATATTTTTCTGTGTGTAAACTTTCATTGTATCTTAGTTTTAAATCACCTATTGTACTGTGTATTTGGGAACTATTTTTAAGAAAATAGTTAACACCCACCCCTCGCAATGCTCCAGGGCTCCTATGCTCGAGGCCAAGCCATGCCAAGGACCCACTCCAGGCCTCTCACATGCAAAACATGCCACTTGAGCCCCAAAAAACAATGGTTTTTGGGGGGCGTGGGTGGGGATAGGGGAGTAGAAAAATTTATTGGAAAATAGAAGAGAAAAAAAAGGCAGTCCTCAAGTGGGGAGGACCTTAGAATAGAACTGAGTTCCAAATATCACTGTTGTAACAGGGAAAATACAAAAGGTTCAACATTGCATCAGCTATACTGTAAGCAGAAAACGACATCAGAAATACTTCAATATATTGCCAGGGTGCTAACAGTGAATACCTTAGGATAGTGAAATTTGCATGAATTATTCTGTGTAAAATGTTGAAGACTTTCATGCTCATATTTAGGAATTCAAACTCCTCTGACTTTAACCATTAATAACAGGGATAAAAAAGCTCATTTTAAATGTCAGAGTTCAAATTTCACTATAAAATCCACTTTGAAAAGTTTGTATCATGAAATAAAGTTCTAAAACTAGGACAAGCTTTGATAACTGAAAACTTTTGGTTAATCCTAAATTATGTAACAAAAACTGTCAGATGTGTGCTCAAACTTTTATATAATTCATCGATTTGCTCGAGCAGGCACCAGTAACATCTCCACTATGAGACTTGTTGTTACTTATATTGCAAAAAAGATGCTAAAACAGGAAAATTCAAAGTGTATTATTTTAATAAAAATCAGAAAGTTAAGAATCAATCCACTAACTATTCATTTTTCACACATGTTCTCCTCAGCAACTTCTATCAGTGCAACAGCCAAGTTTCAGCCCCTCATATACCAACATCTTTGACAACCAATATTTATATTTCATACAGCACATGTTACACTAGAAATGACTCTAAAAGCACATTCTAAATCAGAAGCTGAGAGAATTAATATCGTCATTCATTTGACACTTGGGACTCTCGAGTTCTGGGTGGATGGCAGGCTCAATGGAAAACAACCTGGGTGGCACTGATGATGAGAATGACAGGAAGTAGATCAGTCACATGACTAATCCGTAAGAGAAGAGTGCACACATCAGCCAACTACTGAGTCAGGCCAGAAGACCTGAAATGAATCTGACTTCCACAGAACAGGCACATTAGTTTCTACTTTCTGTACAGCTGAAGGGAGAACGCAGTGATGCCGGGGATCAAATCCACAGCTTTGCTCACGCAAGGTACATGCTCGGCCACTGAAGCTGCATCCTTGGTCCTCATATGCCACAAAGAACACACATGTATAAAATTAGGAAAGGGGGGATACCAAAGGGAATGCTTCTATTCAAAGTTATAAGCCACTTCCAAAATAATTTTTAATTTGTTTTTGTTTTGTTCTGTTTGGGGGCTACACCTGGCGATGCTCAGGGGTTACTCCTGATTCTGTACTCAGGAATCACTCCTGGTAGGGCTCGGAAGACCATCATTTTCATTGTGTGTTATCTCTACTGAAACCATCACCACTCAAGTCCTTACAGATTAAAACGTTTTCCATCAATGCCATGCCACACAGAATGAGAAAAAGGCCATTTTCCTATCATTTTCCCAGACACCAAAGTCAAAGAAGCATTTGCTTCGATTTTACCGTGATGATCAGATGATCCAATATTTTGACTGGCTTCTACAAAATTCCAAAATTTCTCTTGACTGTCTTCTGCTAAAAACTCACTAGGAGAAAAGAGAGAAATATCAGAAATAAAATGACTTAATAAAATCTCCTAATATAAGCTCTACATCTAAAGAGAGTAATTACAGGTTTTTAAGTTTTACAATGTCCATAGTGTGACCTCTAATTTATACTAAGTATAAGCATGAATAATATGTATATCAGTATAAACAAATTATTACTATCTTATTTGCTTATGGTAACTTATAGGCTTAATTTATGAATTCAGAATCCTGAATAAAAATGCTCCAGCAGGAGAGTCTTAACAATCCCATTTATGAAAATGCAAACAAGAGTGAAAACAGAATTAAGAACCAATAACTCTGGTATTAGTTCTGCTGCTCACTTATTTTCTCAAAGATCTTGCAAAGAATAAAAAATATATTTACTTTACCTAAGGTTGCCCGCAAGGAAAAGAAAAACCCTAGAAATTTTTCCAGGAGACTAAAGATGACATACGTGGTTATTTTAACCATGAATCCAAATTTTTAAGATCAGAAAATTTTAAGATATTAGAACTTAACATCTCTTTTTTTATCTTTATCTCATACTACTGACATCTCTATACTATGGACCTAAAGTAACAGTGATTCTTTCACTCCAGAATGTAAAACACCTGACAGAAAAGTCATGTACAAACTGAAGACTCCATCTTCTGCCCTAAGCCCTGAGGTCAACTTGGTGGGTGACCTTTCCCTCACTGTCTCAAAGCAATACGCAGCTCTGGCTCTCGGCTGCTCAGCCAAAGAAAGGTTTCCCCATTACTTTCAGTGCAGGTCTCACTGCACTCCACAGCTAGACACAGCAACACGGAAAGAGCGAGAAACACTTCCTGGCAATGCACAGCTTCTCTAAAGGAAGGGTTCTGAAAAGATCCAGAACAGTAATATATCCAATTGTTTAGTGCCTCCTTGAATGTGTCATTTTTTTTCTAAGTTTTCTAATAACTGACACAGATATCATTATATCAAACCTAAATGTTTATCATCTAAAAAAACAGGCATTGTTATAGACAGAAAACAACTGAATAAACAGTAAATGAATGAGTTAAACCTGATTTTACCAAATAAGTCAAACAGGGAAGGGATAACACACTCACTGACTATACCTCTAAAAAACAAGGATTCACTGATGCTAATATCCTCCTATGATGGGACGCCCAAGTAAAAATATGCTTCTCATAGGAAGCAGGAAAACTTCTCATAACATGCATTATTTTCCAATGCACGGGATAAATAAATCTTTAAACATGTACATTTTGAATAGTGTTAAGAAAATTAACTACCAGATCCAATGAACTAACACAGGAAAGAAAAGAACACAGATACCACTGAAAGAACTCTATCAGGGTACATTCAAATATATTCAGTTATTTGTTTTAAGTTTCTTAGTTTCACATTCCTATCCCATTAGCAAAACATTATAGAGAACTACAGATGAAAATTTATGATCTGAGATTTGCTTTCAAATATTCCAGTAAGGGAAGGGAAGAGGGAGGTAGTGGTGATGGTTGTCAAACTTGAGTTAAAAACTCAAGTTGAGTTTGAGGCTGGAGAGACAATACAGTGAGTATATGCTTGTGTTGCACACGACCAATCGGTTTCAATTCCCAGCAGCCCCTAATGATCCCTGAAGCCCAGAAATGCTACCTGAGCACAGAGCCAGGAGTGAGCCCTGAGCACAGTCATCTATGGCACCACCACAAAACCAAAACCATCACATCTAAGTTCCTGGTTTTGCTAAATTCTCTTCCTCTTACTAAATAACCTCCTAAAAGTCTTCAAATGGGTAGAAAAAATGTCCTCTAAGTACAATTCTCTTCTCCCCTCTTATCTAGCATAATAATAGCATAATGATGTAACTGGCTACACGTCTACATCTAAAGAAGTCCCAGAGCTTCCCGAGGAATCACCCAGACCTGTCACCCAGAACAGATCCCTGCTGACAGTCAAGGCCACACTAGGCAGTGTCCGGAGCCACAATCCCTTTGCACAACCCTTCGAAACATGAGCAAAGCCCACACTGCTGCTCAAGGGGTACAGGAAATGATGTCTCCTTACCTGGCTTCTAGCAACAGCGGTGTGGAAAGCCACTTTGTTGTAAGAGAGGTTGTAACAGCCTTGGAATCTGCCTTGACCAAGGAAGCCAGCCACAGTCCGGTGAACATAATCAGAAGGCCCATTTTAGAACAAGTCCCTAAAAGGGGAAGAAAAGAAAGTTTTTCACTCAGAAGTTGTTCCAGCTGGGGGGCTGGAGCGATAGCACAGCAGGTACTTGAGTCACCCTGAGCACAGCCAGGTGGCTGACCCGGGTTCAATTCCCAGCATCCCATATGGCTTCCCGAGTACCGCCAGGAGTAATTCCTGACTGCAGAGCCAGGAAGAACCCCTGTACATCACTGGGTGTGACCCGAAAAGCAACAATAACCACAAAAAAAAAGTTGTTCCAGCTGGACTATTACTACTTAAAGACAAAGTAACGAATGAAATTAGAGAACTATAAACACTTCCAAAATATAATGACAGGGCTGGAGCAATAGCACAGCGTGTACGGCATCTGCCTTGCATGCGGCCAACCTGGGTTTGATTCCCAGCATCCCATATGATCCCCTGAGCACCGCCAGGAGTAATTTCTGAGTGCATAAGCCTGGATTAACCCCTGTGCATCACCGGGTGTGACCCAAAAAGCAAATATATTATATATAATGACACCTAACATCTAGATACTGTAGCAAATATTTGCTGACCAACGCAAAAATAAAGTTATACAGGAGTTATACTCTTTCCTACAAAGATCCACTTAATTTCCTGGGTGTACAGACATATGAAAGTTCACTGTTTGGACTGAAGAGATTCTGCTATAGCAGGTAGGGCACCTGCCTTAACACACGGCCGACCCAGGTTCAATCCCTGGTACAACATATGGCCCCCAGTGCCACCCAGGAATGATTCCTGAGTGCAGAGTCAGAAGTAACCCCTGAGTACTGCTGGGTATGGTCCCTGGCAAAAAAGTCTGTTGGTGATATGAGTTTGAACTTTACAAAACATGAGAGTAAATAAAGCTGAAAGGTAGCAATACAACTGAAGATGGTAACAATGAACTATGTCTTCTAGAAGAGGTCCTGAGCCCAAGTACCTCACAAAGTGCACTTACACTGAAACAGGGTCCTGACTGGGTTTAAAATGAGATCATCGGGGCTGGACTGATAGCACAGCGGGTAGGGCGTTTTTCTTGCACGCTGCTGACCCAGGTTCGATTCCCAGCATTCCATACGGAGCCCCGAGCACCACCAGGAGTAACCCCTGTGCAACATCGGTGTGACCCAAAAAAGCAAAAAATGGATTTCTAGATATGTTTGGGAACCACCTGGCTGTGCTCAGGGTGACTCCTGGCTCTGTGATTCGGTATGACTCCTGACAGTGCTCATGAGACCATATGCTGTGCCCAGAATCAAACCCAGTTTGGCCACGTGTTAGGCAAGTGCTTACCCTGCCATCCTCCCTACCTCTCCAGTCCTTGATTAGAACTTCTTTGACTCCAGAACTGCAAGACAATGAACTGCTGTTTGTGCTCAGTTTGTGGTTTCTATGAGTCGATGCAGCGCCAGGCTAATGAAATGGGCCTTGAACATAAACTCCAAAATACATTTCCTAAGGCCAAAGGCGCACCTCAGCTGTTGGGGTCAATTTCACAGAACTTTGCAGCTGGAAAACACGGCAGATTGGGTCACTAGCAGAGCTGGTACTAAACGGGCCTCCTGAGCGTCTGCAGCAGCGGCAACAACTGCCAACCGTCAGTCTAGACCTCTTCAAAAGTGGGATTCTGGGCAGGCATCTTTGATCTGAATTTCCACCCCCAAAGCGTACCCAGCAGAGCGGTAATGAGACTTCCCCAGGCTCTGTGAAAGCTGGTAACCCAGAGATGACAGAATCATATTCCTGAATGTCAGTATCGGTGAGCCAGCCTAGGTTCAATTCCGTTATGTTGGCATAACATCTACACTTGGGGACAGTGTTTAACGGGGGACCTCTGACAATCTGCTGATGTCCATACCTGGTGCGGTGTAGGGAAAGGAAGGTCACAGGCTGGAGGCACCTTTTAATTACCAAGATTACTGGAGCCTGCTTCGAGGAGCAAGCAAGGCGATCTGACAGTTTGAACTTTACAAAACATGAGCGTAAATAAAGCTGAAAGGTGGCAACACAACTGAAGATGGTAACAATGAACTACTTCTTCTAGAAGAGGTGTGTTGAGCCCTTGAAAACAAACAATTTCAAGGGCTCTGTCCCCCAAAGACCATGGGCTAATTTCAGAAACCTGCTCTGTAAGGCAGAAGAAGCTCCCACCCCACTGACTGTTCTGAATGAGGACCTCTCTGCACAGCAGCACAGGATGAGAACCAGGAGCCACCGTAAGGCCACCCTGCAGAGCACTCAGAGGCTCAAGAGGGACAAGCACCTACCAAAGAAACCTGGCACTGGACGCTGAGCCTGCTGGGTGGGGCAGTAACTCACAGTCCACATACGCATTCCCTTCCCTTCCGGCACACGCACCCTCCACCGCACAGTGCCCCGAGTGTGGCAGCCACCTGGACTTTGCACGGCAAACAGACAGTATCTCACCAATACAGGTATCTCACCAATACACTACCGGATGGCTGAGACAACATCATCACCACTTTCCATAAAGAGGAAATGGAAGTTTAACAGAGGCTAAGTAACGTGCACAAGTAACAAAGCACGATGCTCGGAACTCACATCCGCCTACTGTTTAAACATCGGCAACACCATGCAATTCCCCCCTGGTTTGCTGGCATTAGAAGGTTAAAAATCCCTACCGCACAGACTGAGTAGAGCCCCTTATGAACCAAGGCAAGTACCAGGGTTTCTCCAGCGTCTTCTGTGCAAAGGCTGCTAGAAAAGAAACTGGAATTGAAACAACTGCGACCTGCCGGTCTCTGCGGACCAAGAACGAGTTCTGTAAGGACATAAAGGTGTTTCTGGTAACGGGGAGCAAACTCATGACTTGAGGTATCTGCTCCTTCGCTAAACTCCAAACACCAAGAACAGAGAGATCTCCCGTGGCAATCACATGGGAAAGTGGCTTTCTAAAGTAAGGGAAAGTGAAATAGAAACAAAAGAAGGGAATGCAAATGGAAACAAGTGTAGCATGAAGGGAAAAAAACGCTACAAAAAGCTGAAGTACTTAAGAAGAGTTCAAACAGAAAACTATTTTATAGGAAAGCACCCTAGAAATTTTGTGGTGTTTCAGTTTCTTTTAAAGAGACATTCTTGAGTTGAGGATGACTCGACTGGCAGCAGAGATTACCCAGAGAAGCAGAAGAACCTCAGTGTACTAAGTCTGAGGACGTCTTCATTTCACCAGGCCCCTGATCACTCTGAAGCTCATGGTCCTTCCATGCTGCTTAGAGAGGAAGAGATTGAGAAATAACTAAGAGACATCAGAGACAGCAATGTGGCTTTATGTCACACACATTATGTAATGCTTGAAGCATGAGGTATAAATAAAACCTTGTTTAAAAAGTTTTGGGAGGGGCTGGAGCAATAGCACAGCGGGTAGGGCGTTTGCCTTGCACGCGGCGGACCTGAGTTCAATTCCCAGCATCCCATATGGTCCCCTGAGCACCGCCAGGAGTAATTCCTGAATGCAGAGCCAGGAATAACCCCTGTGCATTGCCGGGTGTGACCCAAAAAGCAAAAAGTTTTGGGAGTGGGGGTAGAGAGATAGTACAAGGCATTAAGGCACTGCCCTTGCAGTCTGGCACTCCATAGACCCACCTGAACATGGACAAAGCCAGGCATAACCCGACCACTCATCCCTCCAAGGATGTAGCACAGAGGACTGGAAAGCTGGTCCCACACACTGGAGATACAGGTTCAATTTCCAACACCACAGGGTCCCCCAAGCACTGCAGAAGAGTGACCCCTAAGTACAGTGCTGGGAGTGACTAAAAAGTTCCACATCCAGAAACACCATCTTACAGGTTTCCTTGACTTCAAGCAGGGGTGGGGAACCGTTTCCTGCCAAAAGCAATCTGGATATTTATATCATTCATGGGTCACATAACACAGGCAAAAAGGCAACAGGCAGCCAAAGAGCCTACAGGTCCACCCTGGCATGTACTAGGGACAGACCATATGATTTCACGGCACCAAGCCCAATGCCCCCCCTACCTGGTTTAGAGCCAGGAGCCCGGTGGACAACAGCCTAACTTCTTAAATTGTAGGTTATAAACCATATGGGTCACATGACTTTTTCCTTTATGTTTTAAAATAGGCTCATAATTTACTATCGGTAAATGTGTGATTTGTTTACCTATTTTATATATTTTATGGGCTGGAGCGATAGCACAGCGGTAGGGCGTTCTCCTTACAAGCGGCCAACATGGCCGACCCGAGTTCGATTCCTCCGCCCCTCTCGGAGAGCCCGGCAAGCTACCGAGAGTATTCGATATGCCAGACACAGTAACAACAAAGTCTCCAATGGAGACGTTACTGGGCCCGCTCGAGCAAATCGACGATCAACGGGAGGGCCTTTACCTTTACCTTTACCTTTATATATTTTATACCTATTTTATATATTTCTTGTTCTCTTAAATCACAAAAGTTCTCTGTGAGCGAATGCCAGAGGCTGTGGCTCAGTCACCACATGCTCCCTAAGCACTGCTAGAAGTGACCCCAGGACTCTGACAGGTGCAGCCTAGAAACAAAACAAAACAAATTCTCTACCAAAAAGGGGTCTCAGGCTAGAGGGATAGTACCGATGTTAAGGCACTTGCCCCACTAGGAGTGACCCCTGAGCATCACCCAGTATGGCTGGCCCAAGGAGAAAATAACAAAAAGGCGTCAAAAGTAGAAAAAGTTTAATAAGCCCCGATTTACAGTAGGATACTGAAAAAGTGCTAAATATACTGTGGCAGCTGCTATCACTTTTCGGAAGCAAAAGAGACATAAAATTCGAAATCATCTTTTCTTCCATTTTTAAAATGAAGGTAACAGAAACTTTAAAAAAAAAAACTTAACATATAACAAGGGAAAATACCGGGAAGACTGACTTTATACACGTATAACTAGCTTTACACACGTATAACTGACTTTATACACGTCTAGCTATTAGTAAACCACGTTTCTGCAAACCATACAATTTCTGATCTGATAACGGAGAGATCACAACTAAGTGCAGAAAGTTGAACACTTTTCCCCAGAGTTCAGTTTACACCTCCCGAGTTACAAAACGTCATCGAAAGCGCACAGCAATGCTATTTCCCTCCACAAACTTGAGTTCATCCAAAGACAAGTGCAACTTCTATGATCAGCCCAAATAATGATCTGCGGCTGCTTCAAACGCGACACTAAAATGGGCTGGCCAAGGGCATAACACCTGTTCCAAGGACAGCGCCCGGCGTAAGACCCCCCAACTGATGAGCGAACACACTAGTTCTCCAATCCGGCCAGGAGCTGCCCAGGGTCCCGGAGTCGGTGACGCGCGGCGGGTCCGGGGCCCGGGGGCGCGCGGGCGGGTCCCGGTGCAGGGCGCGCGGTGGCCGCGGGCCGGGACGCCCGGGCTGCAGCCACAGCGGCACGCACGGTCCGGGGCAGGGGGACCTGCGGGGACATCGCGCGCTGCCATCGAGCCCTGGCCAGCTGCTGCCCAGCCTGCCGGGCACAGGTTCCAGCCCGCGCACCTCCGGGTCCTTCCCCGCGGGGCTCCGCGCACCCGGCCGGCCCTGCGCAGGCGGTCCCCGGCTCAGAAGTCCACGCCGGGGCCATCCGGGACATCTGCAAGCCGGGGAAGGGCTGGGGCACGGCGGGGAAACTGAGTCAAGAAGGAAGCCAGACCCAAGGTGACCGCGCACGCAGCACCCGGGGCCCCGACCCGCAGCCGCGTCCCCCCCCCCGAGGGTACCTGTCACCGGCCGCGCGGCCGCGCCCCCGCGCCTTCGCGGTCCCCTGGAGCCCCGGCCCGGCCGCGCTCCGTCCGCCGCGGCACCTGCGACGAGGCCTAGGCGGGGCTTGGCGGCGGCGGCGGCGGCTGCGCCAGTGAGCGGCCGACACGCGACTCTCGGCCGCCCGCGCCCCGGCCGAGCTCGCAGCGCCCCGGCGCCGGCCGCCCCGCGCTTCCGCTTCCTCGTGCGGGGCCGGAGGACTTCCGGCGACCGAGGCGGGCCCGGGGCCGCCCAGAGCGCCCCGCGGCAGCCATCTTGCCCGCGCGTTGGTCCTGCTTGGCTTCCCGCTTCCTCCTTCGGCTGCCTTTGGGGCTCGCGGAGTCTTTGTGGTGGCGGTCAGGCCGACAGCTGGGACCCCCAGAGTTTGGCTGGATGGGGCTGGAGCGATAGCAGCAGTTGGGGAGGGCGTTTGCCTTGCACGCGGCCGACCCGGGTTCGAGTCCCGGCATCCCATGTGGTCCCCCGAGCACCGCCAGGGGTAATACCTGAGTGCAGAGCCAGGAGGAACCCCTGAGCATCGCCGGGTGTGACCCAAAAAGCCCCCACCCCCGCCCACCCCCAAGGAAAAAGAAAGCTAAGTTTTGCTCGAGGACGATGCTTCTGTAACCTTGACCCCAGCTGTCTAAAGCTCTTGCCTTTGCGCCTGAGCACCTTGGACCCTGAATCTGAAATCCCAAGCTGTTAGGGAAGGCGGGGCTGGGGGGTGCTTGTGCTTGATTCCGATTCGGAGCCACTCCCAGAAGTGTGCAGTCCACTCCCACTGGTCCGGGAACTCAAGGGGTTCTGGGGGCCAGAGCCGGGCTCCCACATGCAGAGCAGCCTCCGGCACCTTGCAGATGTCCCAGGCCTCCTAAGTCCTACCGGCGACTGCCCTGTGTTCTGGGTGCATGGCGAAGAGAAGACTGAATTTTATTACATCCTTTCGCTTGCTTTATCGTGCGATTGCTTTGCTCTTTGCATTCTGTGGTTTTTCAGGTTTTTGCAAAAGTAAACGATTCTTGAGGCTGGAGAGATAGCACAGCCGGCAAGGCGGTTGCCTTGCATGCGGCAGACCCAGGTTCGATTCCCAGCATCCCATATGGTCCCCTGAGCGCTGCCAGGAGTTAACTCCTGAGTGCAGAGCCGGGAGTAACCCCTGTTTATCGCCAGGTGTGACCCAAAAAGCAAAAAATTTAAAAATAATGTAAATGATTCTTTTAATTGTTTTACCAAGCTTACAGCAGTGAATATTTTTGAAGGATATAATGTTTGGGCTGGAGCGATAGCACAGCAGTAGGGCATTTGCCTTACAAGGGGCCAACATGGCCAACCCGGGCTCGAATTCTCCACCCCTCTCAGAGAGCCGGGCAAGCTACCGAGAGTATCTCGCTGGCACGGCAGAGCCTGGCAAGCTACCCGTATTCGATATGCCAAACACAGTAACAACAAGTCTCATGATGGAGGTATGCCAAACACAGTAACAAGTCTCATGATGGAGGTATGCCAAACACAGTAACAAGTCTCATGATGGAGGTATGCCAAACACAGTAACAACAAGTCTCATGATGGAGACGTTACTGGGCCCGCTCAAGCAAATTGATGAACAATGGGAAGACCGCTAAGATAATGTTTAACTTTTTTTTTTTTAGATTTTATTTTATGGTCCTTGGCTTAGAAAATGATTCTTGGTAGGCTTTCATACGTGAACCTTGCCAGCACCCCCCCCCACCACCACCTCCAGTGTCTGCTTCCTCTATCACAGTCCCAGTGTCCCCCCTACCCTGCGAGTTCTTCCAGGTCTCAGTGCTGTTGCCTTTGGGAATTTGTTATTTCCACTTCAATTTCTTTATATCCCCAAACATGAAGGAAATGTTCTGTAGCTGTTCCTCTCCTTCTGACCAGCTTCACTCAACAAAATATTTTCCAGATTCATCCTCATAGCTGCTATTTGCCTGATTCTGTCTTTTTTTCCCCCCCCACTTTTTAGGTCCCACTTGGTGATGCACAGGGGTTAGTTCTGGCTCTACACTCAGGATTTATTCCTGGCAGTGCTCAGGGGTCCATATGGGATGCTGGGAATCAAACCCAGGTGGGCCGCTTGCAGGGCAAACCGCCCTACCCGCTATGCTATTACTCCAGCCCCGATTCTGCCTCTTCTTATAATGAGTAGTATTCCATTGTGTATATGTTCTGCCAGGAGTGTCCATTAGTGCAGAGCCAGGAGTAAGCTCTGAGCACTGTCAGATGAGCCTCCTCCCCCCCAAAAAATGAGGAGGAACATACAAGGGGCAGAAGAGTCGCAGTGAAACTGTTCTGCATAATATTCTAGTGCTGGATACATTTGCTGTACTTAGGTCAAACCCAAAGGATGTTAGACTATGTCCATGTACATTTGTCACTTATAACAATGTAGCAACCCTGCTTGATTTTGTTGTGACCCTGAAAAAGTCCTGGGACAAAAGAGCTAGGACAATCCGAGGCATTGCAGATGGTTTTCTAGGTGGCACCAGGGGTCACTCCTGAGCACAGAGCCAGTTACAACCCCAGAGCTCTGTCAGTTGTAGGCCCTAAATATGAAGTGTCATAAAAATGTGTTTAAAAGCAGAAAAATCACAAATAAACTCAATAAAGTGGAAATTATATTCAAACTCGGTCATTTGCCTAAGTTTAATGTTTACTGTTGGTGCTGTAAAATTGTATGGAGTTTTACAAATGCACAAAAACCTGCTTCTTCCACTGATGAGAATAGACCCTGTTTTCCCTGGGGATGAGGGAACTAGGCCTCTGAGTCCTCACCTTAATCATGAACATCTGAGCAGCCGATGAAATGAAAGGATGCAAAAAGCAGACTATACCATTGAACGTACAGGACGGCCTCGAGATACTATTGTGCCTTGTAACCGCAGAAGGGGCTCTGAGTATCCTTAAAATGGTGCTGAACCTGTTTAGGAGTTTCTGCTTCTGTCCTCTCTCCTTCTTGCTGCCTCTAAATGCTCCATCCCCTCTTTAGATATGAAATGAAACTGAGACTTCGTTCTGGGTCAAACCAACAGAATTCTGTCTGGGTAAAATAAAATCCTCCTTCTGAGGCCTTATAAGCGACCATTTTGTTTTGCCCAGTCTGGCCTGGTTGAAATCCTCTAACACTTCCATTAGCAAATAATTGTATCACCCTAACAAATCCCTCTTTTCAATTATTTACCTCTTCTTACAAAGCCTGGCAGCTATCTTTCTTACCTACTGGCTGTTGCCCTCAAACCCAAATTAAATTGTTGGGTCCGGAGTGATAATATAGCAGGTAGGGCATTTGCCTAGCACATGGCTGACCCTAATTTGAACCCAACATCCCACATCATCCCCCAGAGCACCACCAGGAGTAATTCCTGAGTGCAGAGCCAGAAGTAACTCCTGAGCATCGCCAAGTGTGAGCCAAAAAAACAAAAAACCCAAATTAAAATGTTAGACCCTAATTTCCAAACATTATTTGAGAGATAGTATAGCAGGAAGGGTGCTTGCCTTACATGAAGCTGACCCAGATTTGATCCCGTATGGTCCCTTGAGCCCTCCAGGAATGATCCCTGAGCACCACCAGATGTGGCCCCCCCAAAAAAATATTATTTAGAGGTGGAGCAGTCTGAGATGTTAGGCTCTGAGAGTAAAGCTTTCAAGAAAGAGATTGACGTTTTGAAGGAGGCTGCAGAGAGCATGCTTGCAGTGATCTCAGCAGCAGGAAGATAGCCCACCGCTCTGATGAAAAAGGGGATTGCAAAGACACCACATCTGCCAGAAATGTGAAAATCAAATCTGTGCTTTATACGAACAATGCGTTTTTGAAAAAAAAAAATTGTATTTCGACACCATGATCTACAAAGTTATTCATAGTTGAGTTTCAGGCATACAATGTGTCAGCATCAATCCCACCACCAGTGTTAATTTTCCCCCATCAATGTCCCCAGACTCCCTCCTAACCCCCCTAGCAGGGCTCTTGTCAAAGAGACAAAGCCATGGCAACAGGAAGTGGTTGATGAGGGCTGGGTGGGAACTAGTAGAGTATAAGGATGAGAGGCTATTTTAGGAGTGATAGAGCTGTTCTAAAATTGTAGGTGATAATTCTACAACCCTGATTATAGTAAAAATTGTGTGCACACTTAAGAGAAATTGTATTTTATGTGAGCTATATCACAATAAAGCATTTTAAAAATCTTAACTATATTAAGTGATACATTACTATCCAGGTTTACCTTATTTCAGTTGCATGATGGAAATAGTTTCAAATTGAAACTATTTAAGTTATTATTTAAACTACTTAAGCTCCCATATTATTTAGTTTTGCATTTTATTTTTATGTACTCATAGGTTGCTTCATGTAAACATAATGTTTGTTTGGTTTTTTGTTTGTTTGCTTTTGGATCGCTGGGCTGGAGCGATAGCACAGCGGTAGGGCGTTTGCCTTGCACGCAGCCAACATGGCCGACCCGAGTTCGATTCCTCCGCCCCTCTTGGAGAGCCGGGCAAGCTACTGAGAGTATCTCGCCCACCCGGCAGAGCCTGGCAAGCTACCCATGATGTATTCGATATGCCAAACACAGTAACAAAAAAGTCTCCAATGGAGACGTTACTGGGCCCGCTCGAGCAAATCGATGAACAACGGGAGGACCGTGACCGTGCTTTTGGATCACACCCAGCGATGCACAGGGATTACTCCTGGTTCTGCGCCCAGGAATTACTCCTGGCGGTGCCCAGGGTACCATATGGGATGCTGGGAATCGAACCCAGGTTGGCCACGTGCAAGGCAAACGCCTTACCTGCGGTGCTATTGCTCCAGCCCCAAACATAATGTTTTATTATCTTGAAGTTAAGAACATAAAAACGATCATTGCTTTAAAAAAGTTATTCTTAGTAACCACTTAGCTTTTTCAGGAGAAACTGAACCTCTTAACGCTTGGTATCTATCCAGTGTAAATTAATTAGCATGAGTCATTAGGATAGATAAAAATATTCATTGCTTTCGTCCAAGATAGGCTTTCCCCATTTGGTAGTACATCATGGGTGACTGGTTTGACATTTCCACTTTTTGTCCGTTAATCTCTTATTCTTTTATCATGGCCTTTCATATTAAATGCGAAGCATCCA